GGGAGGAGGGAGGGGGAGGAGGGATCCTGGAAGTCGACCGTCACACGAACCACGTCCCCGACCGCGAGGCGGCGCGAGAAGGAGCGCGGCGTCGTCCCCGAGACCTGCACGTAGCCGTTCGAGCCAAGCGCGAGCAGCGCCCAGTTGGAGTCGGCCCACCGCTCCGACACGTTGAACCGGTCCACCGGCCCAGAGTAGCGGTACGGCGAGAGCGCCTGACGACGGAGGCTGTCACTCAAGGAGAACAGGGACGCTGCGCAGAGCCGCGCCGCGGCGAGAGCGGCCGTCGACAGCGTCTCGCGGGTGAGGAGATGCTCCTCCTGCTTGCAAAGCTGAGATTCGCCGAGATTGGCCGAGATTAGCCGAGACTGGCCGAGACCGGCCGCCTCCCACCTGCTTGTGCAGTGGCCCGCCGCCGCCCGCAGCGGGCAAAGGCGCCTCCTCGGCGGGGGCGGAGCCGCGCTTGTCGTACATGATGCCTACGACGAGCGCATCGGTGGTGGGCTACGGGGTGGGACTCCTTCGCCGCGCGCGGTCGTGCAAGCATGCACCGAGCCAGAGGCCGACGCCGTCGAGCTGCGGCAGCCGGACCAACCGGACACTCCACGAGATGGAGCGCGCGAGGCGCGACGAGAAGCCGACCGACGTCACCGCGGTGGCGACGCGGTACAAGCTCGGCCGCAGCGAGAGCTCATCCTGCTCCTCCGCCGCCTCGGCCGCCGCCGCCCTCAACCCATGTTGTGGACCGCCGAGGTGCAGCTCAGCGCAAGTGCGGCCGGCGCCGGAGAGGCGAGAGCCAAAGGCGGTGCCGCGATCGATGGCGAGCGAGTGCTTGGCGTACCACGCGGCCATGCTGCGCGCGCAGCCAACGCCGCTAGCGCCTCCGAGACCAGACGCGGCGGCGGCGTGAGCGGCAACTTCGGACCAGGGCAGGCTCGCCGAGACGGCGCGGCACGTCTTTGCGAGGTAGCACAAGTCTCGCGCCGAGAGATAGGACGCGAGGTGGGCAACCGTGGCGACCGTCTCGAGCAGCAAACTGTTACCGAGCACAGCTGAAGCCGCCTGCGGCGGCGGCGGCGGCGGCGACTGCACCGCTCCGCCGCCTCCGCCGCGACACTCCCAGAGCGGAAAATCGACCAGCACGTCCGACGGAGTGGGCGACGGGACCGCCGCCGCCGCCGCCGCCGCCGCCTCGCCCGCCTTGCCGGCAAAGCGGACGCGCACGTGCGAGTTGGACCTCTCGAGCCGCCGAGCGACGCTCTCGGACCCCTCCCCCTCCTCCGCCTAAAGTGGGCATTCCTGTCCACGCCCCTTCCGCCTCGTGAGCAAGCAGGGGGGTGGGCATTCCTGTCCACGGCGTGCACCACCAGCCGCCACCGCACGCCGGCGAGCCTACCCCATGACACCCCGCAGTCCGGCGAGGCAATGTCTGCGAGACGTCTCGGACGTGTCTAGGAAGTCTCACCTCCCGGAAGAGCTCGATCGGCAGAGGGTGGAGGAAGCTCTCGGCCGGCTCCCACGAGTCGCTCGCGGCCGAGTAGCCCTCCCAGCGGACCAGGAAGCGGCCCTTACGCTCCGCCAGCACGCGCTCCACCTTGTACAGCGAGCCGGAGGAGGAGGAGGAGGCGGCGGCGGAAGAGGAGGCGGCGGCGGAGTCGGAGGCAGGGGCGAGGAGACCACCGTGCAATGGGTCCAGGGGGCCACCAATCTGCCTGCCGCAGATGTGCCTGACGTGACGGCCGCGACACGCGTCACACGACAGGCCAGACGGCCAGGATAGTGCATCGGCGGAAGAGGAGGCGGCGGCGGCAGAGGACGAGGAGGCGGTGGCGGCGGTGGAAGAGGAGGAGGCGGCGGAGGAGGAATCGGCGATGACAGCGGGTGTCGCGGTGGTGGAGGCCACCGCGACCGGTACTCCTGACGGCTCCTCTGCCGACGACGGCGTCACTGCCGTCGTCTCCACCTTGCGCAGTGAGCAGTGGCCGCCACGGCCACCGTGCTTGAAGCCGCGCATGCAGAGAGGGTTCCGCTCGCACTGCAGCGAGCCAGAGAGAGGGAGTGCTGACGCGCGCTTTCCCCTGGGAGTCGAGGGCTTGGCAATGTGCTTCCCTCCGCGTCCCGCCGGCCGCCGCATGTCTGGCGTCAACTCACCACCAAACGCCCACTCTCGCCGGCACCGTTCCCGCCGTGCTATAGCCTGCTTCTCACGGATCCGGTCGCTCAGGACGAGCCCGGCGGACGTAGCTTGTGGCCTCATCTGCGCATTGCGAGCCAGCGAGCCAGCGAGCTGTGCTAGAGATTGGTTCCCCCTTGCGACACCGACACCACCCAACGCACGCGAGCGTGATGGAAGTGCTGTGAACGATGTTTTATATGTGAACACTCGGGGTCGTTGTCTTCGAGGGGGTGTGCCCGCGGCGGGGTCCGCGCACACACGTGAAACCCGAGAGCGTACACCCTCTTCATCCTGCGCAGTTTATGAGGTCGCGAAGGTATCTCTCGAGACTGAGACGGCCCCCCGGTCCCGTTCTCTCCACGCACCACGGAGAATCCACAACTGCGCCACACAAACCGCGCCGTCAGATCCCCACAACACCCAGCGCCAGCAGAGCTTGGACGGCAATGCTCGTTCTAGTCGTGCGGCACCCTCAGCCCCACATTGTTGGCGACGTGGGGCGAGCAATCTGGAGCCACGTAGATGTTGCCTGCCCCGCCGCAGGCGCCAGAGAGGCGGTTCGCCTCGTAGACGCCGCTGCCGCTCTCCGTGAGGTAGATGCCGTACGCGTCATCGTGGATCGTGTTTTCGCGCACGGTCGGTGCGCCACCCGTCTTGCTCTGCACGCCGTACTTTTTGTTTGCGTAGATGTTGTTGCCCTCCAGCAGCCCCGCGCCGCTCTGGTAGGCGATGAAGCCGGCGCCGCCGTTGTGGTGGATCCGGTTGCGCCGCAAGTGCGGGTTGGAGGGGCCCTCGGTCTGCACACCAGACCAGCCATTGCCAAAGATGTCGTTCTCCTCGAGCACGCCTGTGCCGTCCTCCGCGGTCAACACGCCGGCCTGCTTCTCCGAGTGGATGCGGTTGCGTCGAAAGAGGGGCGCCGAGCCCGACTTGATCTGCACACCGCAGCGGCCGTTGGCGGAGATATCGTTGCCCTCAAAGACGCCCGCGCCGCGGTTGTAGACGACGATGCCGGCCGAGCGGTTGCCGCGCAGCCGGTTGCCAACCACGCGTGGCTCGGACCCCTCCTCGACCTGCAGCCCTGACCAGGCGTTGTTGATTATGTCATTGTCCTCAAAGTGGCCGAGCCCCTGCTCGTAGACCCATACGCCAAACGAGCGCTCTGAAAAGATGCGGTTGCCGCGCAGCTCGGGGCACGCCCGCGAGCGCACCTGGACGCCCCCCTTGCCGTTGGAGGTGATGTCGTTGTGGCGCACCACCCCGCGTCCGTGGTTGAACGAGATGAGCCCGGCCGACTTGTTGTCGTGGATGTAGTTGCGCAGCAGCGTCGGGTTGGAGCCGCCGGAGATTTGTACGCCTGACCACCCGTTGCCCCAGATCTCGCTCCCCTCGATCAGACCCCCGGCGGCGGCGCGGAACCAGCAACCCGCCGCCGCGCCCGAGTGGATGCGAGAGCGACGCAGGCGGGGCGACGCCGTGTCGGTCACTTCAACGCACAATCCCGAGGAGGAGGAAACGTCGCAGTGGGAGACCTCGAGCACGCCGCGCGAGCAGAGGAGGCACGAACGGCCCAGACTGCCCGTCTGCCGGAGCGTCACGTTCTCAAGCCGCGCAAAGGGCGCCGTCGCGTGCAGGGTGTGGTTCCGCGACGACGTGATGACCACGCTGCCGCCGCCAGCCTGCGGCCCGCTGCTACCGACGATGGTCACCGGGATCTCGAGCGAGAGGGACTCGCGGTACACGCCCGGCCGGACGAGGATGCAGCTGCCTGTGGGCACGCCACGGATGCGTCATGGGCATGGCATGGGACGCAACCGGCGGGACGAGGGCGGTAGTTGCCTGGCAGAGCAGCCCGAAGCGCAGACGAGATGGTTGCGTGGTGGCCGCGCACGCTGGCCGCCTTGTCGACGATGAGAGTGGGCAGCGCGAGCGACGCATGGAAGAGGAGCGACGGCTCGAGGAAGGAGAGCAGGTGCATGATGATCTCGTCTGGCAACGGAAGAGGCGTTGCCGGCGTGCGGAGGAGCCGGCACAACCACGCATCGTAAGAGCCCTGACGCTCGCGGGCCCCGGGCGGCGGCAACGGCGGCACAGCCGCGAGCTCCAGCTTAGGCGGTGAGTGACCAGGCTGGAGGAAGCCTGCCGTCGACGCCGGCGGAGCGAGCAATGGCTGCAGCACCGGCGGCGGCAACCGCGGCCGGCCTCGTATGGGTGAGCCGTGCGCGCGCCGAGCGATGGCAAACGGAGCGGAGCCGAAGAGGCGCAACGGCATCGGCGGCGGCCGGAGCGGGAGCCGTCCGACCGCACCGAGGTTCCCCAGCGCCGCCTTTGCCTCGTGGCCCGCAGCCTCGGAGGGCGGCGCCGTTGCCTCAGCCTCCTTTGCCCCAGTCTGTTGCGCCCGCCGCGGCCAGTGCGCGTGCGCCGCCGGCGGCGACTCCGCACCGCCACCCATCCGGCCGGGCGGCGTGGTCAGACTAAGCAGCCGTGGCGGTGACGGGGGCGACAGCTGTGGCGAGTGCTCGCCGTGCGCCGGCGCCGCCAGAGGCAGCATCAACGTGCGAGGCTTCAAGGGCGTCCGGCCAGGCTCCGAAGCGGAGCCCCCCATGACGGAAGTAGGCGTACGCCGCTCGGCAGAGCCGTTGACCAGCCCGATTGACCGGTCGGCGGCCGCCCCCAGAGCCTTCTTTTGCGGCGCGCGGAGCGCGGGCCGGCCTGGCTCCTCCGCCGCCGGGCACAGCTGCTGTCGCGCAGAGCTCACCGCCTCGAGCAGCTGCGTAGGTGGGGCGCGGGAGGGCAAGTGTTAGTGTGCAAGACACGTGGAGGCAGCGGGGGAGCGCGGTCGATGCAGCAGAGACAGCAACAGAGTGGCTGGGAGGCGGTGGCTAGCAAGAGTAGCCACCATATCAGGTTGGGTGTGGCATGGTAGGTCTCTCCAATGTGACCTGCGCAGACAGCTCCTCGCAGTGCTGCGTCAGTGGCGCTGTCGCGACCATCGATACGGCGCGGTCGAGCGCGGTGCACGCGTCGCCGATGCTCCCCGCGTTTGCATGCGCCGCGGCCAGCTGCATCTCCTCGCCCACGAGCACGCGCAGGCACTCGCAGTGCATCACAGCAGCACCGGGCAAGGCCAGCGCAGAGCACTCCTGAGCGAGGCAAGGAGGGCATGGAGCGGCGCTGTGGCGCAGCCGTGCGCGTAGTGGAGGAGGGCCAGGGCGAACGCGCGCGAACGAGGGCAGTGGCGTGCCTGCGGTCGCATGATGCACGCTACTGCCTCCTCCGAGCAGCCCATGAGGTCGGCGGAGTCGACGTAGTCGACGCGCATTCGCAGCAACTCTGCTCTCGCCACCGGCGAGTCCAGCGGCGGAGGTTGGACGAGGATTGGAATGAGGCAAGCGTCGCCAGAGTGAAGGTCGCCGAGGAGCACCTCGTGGCCCGCCCCCGAGGTAGTTTCGGTCTGCTCAAGCAGGGTGTAGAGCCGTTCGAGTTTGGAGCCACCAAGCGGCTCGACGACAAGCCTCGCGCCTTGCGCAGACGCGCCCCAGGGGCTGCGCCGGTCGAGGGGCGGTCTGACGCGCCAGCCGAGCCCGCACCCTTCCAGGCGGCACACCTGCGTCGCGGCCGGCCGCAGCGGCAGGCTCGCCTCCAGCGACGGGCCGCTGCCGCTGCTCTGCGCAGGAGCGTAGACTGCTGCCATGACCAGCACGGGGTCGGATGCGCCGGCAGGCAGAGCGCCAAATTCGACGAAGCAGCTCAGCTCGACTGCCATGTCGGAAGTGGCGAGCGCGGAGTGCGCGTGTTGAGATGGGGGGAGGGTTGCAGAGTGCGCAGCGGGCAGACGTCGCGCGTTCTTGTCTGTTACGGCCTCTGCCGTATTCGTCGTCCGAAAGCAGGCGGCGGGCTCCCGTCGCGGGCTGGGGGCGAAAGCTCTGTCCTGAGGGAGGGTGTAGAGGATGTAGAGTGTAGAGCGCTGTAGAGCTGTAGAGATGTAGAGCGCTCTGGAGCGCTATATATAGAGCTGTAGAGCTCTACATCCGGCGCGTGACGATGTGAGTCCGATGTAGAGCGATGTAGAGCGCGATTTTGCTGATGAGTTTGGTACATGTAGATAGAGGCTCTACAGCCAAACCGCCGGGAAGGCAGTGACTCAAAGAGGTCGAGTCGCACTAATGGGGTGTCTCCGAGCTTACTGGAGCTCTGATGGACGGCCCTGACTATCCCTGACACACAGACAGAGCGTCACTCTGACGGCACACAACACCCTATAACTGCGTCATGACCAGCCTGCCATGCGTCGCCGGTGCCGCATTCGTCGCTGTGCTTCTTTAGCAGGCGGTGGGACTGTCGGCTGCGAGGACGGTCGCATTTGCGCGAGGCGAGGCGAGCATTGCTGCGCGTTGCATGCGCCATGCCTCGCGCCAGCGCGTGCGGGAGCTCCTGGCTGAGCGTTGAGTCCAGGCGAGTTGCGCTGGCCACTATCGCTACGCCGAGCCGAGCTGACGCGCCGAGGCGCCGGCCAGTCGCAGCCGTGAGGCATGCCACAGCAGCAGAGGCACCTGCCACCCATTGGGCGGGCAGACAGAAGGCCAGGGCAGCACTGGCAAGTGCAACGCGCCTCATGGCTCATGTCGGAGAGCGACCGTGCCTCGTTCGCCGCTTATGATGCAGAGTTTGTTGTAGAGATTTCACTGCGATTTCTCTCTCTCAGTGTACGTTTCAGTGTATGTAGCTCTTACGTACATTCCCGGAGGTGGACTGCTGACAGGGTTTGAGAGAGAGATTTGTTTGTTGTCAGGGTTTGCGATGAGGAGCGACCCGAAGGGTTTCTCGGAGGTTAGTGCACCACTAACCCGCCTTCGCTGTTGAGAGAATCAATCAGGCAGAGAAAGAAAAAAGGGAGAAGAGGAATGGGGAAAGGGTTTCATATTACTAAATAAAAAAATCAAAAAGGCTGAGAGTCGCTTCACGCGGGCGGCGCCGCTGCGTGCGCCGCCTGCCGTAGGAATCCTATCTTAGCCAACACCAATTCGATGCACATTTGTGTGCAGATGCTCTCCTTCTTCGCGTTGTGCTGCCTCGCACACTGCGACGCTCTGCGAGCCGGAATGATGCTTTGCGACGTGCCTACGCCGGCGCTCCTGCTTGACTGCACGACAGCGCGGCAGCGTGGTTTGACTGCGGCGGCGCTCAATGCGTGCCTGGGCAGCGGTGACAGTGGCGGCCTCTCCGACCTCGTGTACGTGCACTGCAGCGTGCTTTCAGGACGCAAGCCCCGCGACGGCGCGATTGGCTCCACGACAGTGGCAGGCGCCGACTGTCCATCTGCGGCGCCCGACGCCTCGGTCGTGCTGGCCAACCTCGACGCCACGCTCGAGCAGTGTGGCGGCGCGGGCGCTTTCCTTGGGCTCGGCGTGAACAATCACTATACCGGAGGCTACTACTGGGGCCGCTCCTCAGGGCCCGGCGCGGCGATGCCTGCGCCTGGGGTTCGGGTGGCCGTAGGGGCGGCGGGCAGCGTGGCGCTCCTGCGCGTGGCAAACTCGAACGACGGGAAGCGGTCGGAGTGGTGCGAGTTCCTCGCGCCGGGGGACCAGTGCCAGCTCGTCCCCGGCAACGTCGCCGCCGCGCTCGACCGCTTTGGCCCCCCTCGCCAACTGTCCTCCACATGCTTTGCTGGAGGCCTCTCGGAACCCTCTCGGAACCCTCCTCTAGGGACCCTCGTTGGCATCACACGCGACGGAGACCGCGGCGTGCGGGCGGGCGCGGAGATCTAGACACCTGACAGACACCATCCTTTCTCTCGCTTCTTCACACCAGCCGTCCTCGTAGCTCTGGTTTTCCCGCGAAGTTTAGGAGGACGAAGCCGCGCTCCGCAGCCTCGGTGTATGCTGCTTAGGCGCAGAGCCCGTGGTGGAGGCGGCTTGGACGCGCCGAGCGGGTCGCCAAGGTAGTGCAGGCGAGTGGGAGCGGGCGCCCTGGTCCGCGCCGTTTGACGACGCTGAGGGGCGGAGGGAGCCCAAGTCGGCCGCCGACTTTTTTGAGCTGTGGGCCAAGTAAGGTAAGGTAAAAGGGTCCCCAGACCCCAGGCGGCCCTCCTCCAAGAAACAAGAAATCACTGAGCGCCTGACTTCGCTCGGCGTAGAGACGCAGGCGCGGCCGCTGGACCGTCCGCTAAAGCCGTAGCACTTAGCTCCCACTTCCTCACTACCTCGTATACCTGCTGCATGGCTCAATATCTCATCACGCGCACACCTCTCTCGCTCACCTCCCCCCCCCCCCCCCCAGTCCCCTTGGCATCGCATCGCATTGGATCGCGCCGCCTCGCCCCCCCCCCCTCCTCTTCTCTCCTCTCCTCACACTCCTCTCCTCTCCTCTCCTCTGACCTCTCCTCCTCGTCTCGTCCCGTCTGTCCTCTCCTCTCCTCTCCTCGCAGGCCGCGTCCGTCGTTACTATATCACGCCGGGGCCAGCAGTCCCGTCGCCTGGGGCTCGGCGTCGGTCGTGCCGCGCGTACCCGCCTCGCTGGCCGCGCGACGGCGTGGTCGGCAACCTGTGGGGGCTCAAGGCCGAGGCGTCGACCTGGTTCGGACGCCTGTGCCACCCAGCACCCTCCACACACTACACACTACACACAGTGTACTAGCACAGCTCTGCGCCGTGAACCCTCAATGTCAATACTCGAGCTTCCTTGTGCTCAATCGTGTCACGCGCCTACGTCCCTTGGCCAGCGCCCTCCCTGCGAGGACCAGCCAGTGTTTTGATCCTTTTGTAAAGCCATTTATGAGAGAGAAGAAACCGCGCTGATGTCCTCAAAGAGTCAGCAGAGAAAGAAGAGCAGGTGCCGGGAGCGCTCCTGGCTTCACCGGAAGCGCGTACTGGCCATCTGCGCCTGCGGCGGAACGCCAAAAGGTGGAGGCGATCCGGCAGGAAAAGCTCGACGCCCTCCTCAAGGCCGGTGTGCCGCAAAAGTACACCGCCGAGCTTCGTAAGCTCAAGGTTTGAGCACACGCTTCAGGTGTCGGGACGGGGCTTAAAGGGCATGTTGTATGATGCTATCGCTGGGAGCCTTGTGCTGCGAGTGTGCGAGACTCTGGTCGTGGAGAGACTAGAGGAGTGTGTGTATGTAAGTAGTGAGTGAGAAGTTCGGACATTTCCTGTCCCGCGACGATCTTACATTTCACCTTCCCTTTTCGCGCGCCACAACACACGCGGCCACCCAAAGAGGGTGCCACCCTTGCTTCACGGCTCCTTCGCGCGCGCAAACACCCGTGGTGTTAGAGTGTGTGCCCCAGAGTCCCGGAATCCCAGTCCCGTGCCCAGTGTAAAAAGAAAGAAAGAACGCCGACAGCCCCAAGGGAGAGAGGCCGGGATCACTTGGAGCACTTGGAGTGCGCTGATTAGCTCCCCGGCCCTGGGTGTGAGGTTGCCAACTGCAGTCCAAGTGCTCCAAGTGAGGAAGGTAACCGGTGGACGGGAAATTCATACGCTTACTTTTGCCTCCACCAACCAATCCCGCAGGTAGGCGCTTCCATTTGATAGCGCATTTGGCGGCTGCTGCTGTAAATCTCTCTCTCTGCTGCTGCGCATCGCCATGAAACTCTCTCTCGCCACATGCCATGACCCATGTGTTTGAGCGTATATATGAATATATGTTTTTGGGTCTCCAAAAAGAAAGAAAGGTAGAAAACATACAACCAAGGGAGGGATGGGTCTGCGTTTGGTTTACTTCTTCCTCCTCATCATCGTCCGAAATCGTCCGAAAACACGATCGACGGGGCACACGATTTACCGGAACACCGATCGACGGCTCTCTCGTTTCGTCTTTTGCACAACAATCATGCTGGCTATCGCGTGCCTGACCCTCGCTGCTCCCGTCGAACGTGCTGCCTCCTGGAGTAACGCGCTGTCGCGAAAGGCTTTTTTAGCTCCATTTCTGTCCAATCGCTCGCAGACCATTCCCACCCATCCATCGAGGGCGGCACACGAGTAGCATACTCGAGTACGACTGACCCGTCTCCGGCCGTGTCTATGCGTTTGTAGGTGCGTTTGGTCCTCGGTGCGCCCGCTCTCGCTGCGTCGCGCGGGAGATGTGGCATCTCTGCTGCGTTCAGAGCGCCGGCCGGAGCTGAAGCCGACGAGTTCTCTGACGAGCAGGAAGCTCAGCAGCTGACGCGTCAGCGCTTTTCATCAGCGACGCGCTGCGCTTTTCCTTCCCTCGCCGGCGCCACCAACCAGCACCACATCTGAGAGAGAGAGAGAGAGAGAGATTTATTTGTTGTTAGAGAGATTTGATGCCACATCTGAGGAATGTGGGAAAACGTGCCTTTGGCTCGCCAGGTGAAAGTCATTTTCCCTGTCGCGTCAACAAACCCAAGTGTGCTTTGCGTGTGTAGTACGTCTGCGAGTTGCTACTTTACCTTCTCCAACCGGCTAAAAGCCTGCCCGTCGCCCCCCCCCCCCCCCCCGCCCCCGCCCCCACCCCCCCTGCCCTGCTCGGACAAACTGGCGCACATCCCTTCCGCTGCCGCCGCAACAGGTGAGAAAGAGCGCTACTCAAAGCGATGAGCTTGCTCATCCCGGAGTGGTTCGACTCCACACAAATCCGAGACGGTGACGGGCGCTGTCTCGATGATCTCAGGCCCAGTGAGGTAGTGCGTCAGACCTGTCCCGGATCCTGCTGACCAAGCTCCTCTTGTAGCTCGATCGGTCACACCGCCATCGCCGTCGGGGAGAGAGGGGACGACACTGCTTCGGCAGCGTGCACCTCGATCCTGTACCGTGTTTGTTATGACCCCCCCCGATGAACACACCAGTGAGGGAGGGCGAGACGATCGAGGGGTCCCGTACCACGCGGAATCGGCCCTATCCAGTGCTCAAGTGCTCAAGTATGCTAAAAAGGTCGGCAAAAACGGCGGGCGCCCGCCGGATCGGTTGGGGACAGCGTAAAACAATGGCGCCGGCTCGCGCGAACTCGCGGCCACAGGTTTCTGAGCGCCTCGTGTTGATCCCAGCCATCTACAAGAACAGCACGACTGGCTACAAGAACGTGGCCTACGACCGCTGCAGTAAGAAGTTCAAGGCGCAGGTGCGGGATGGCGGCAAGCATGTCCACCTCGGCTACTTCGACACCGCCGAAGAGGCGGCCACCGCCTACGCTCGGTCAGAGTACGGCCGCGCCGACGCCGCCAAGCTGCTGCAGCCCCGCCCTACTACCACTGCCGCTGGCGCCGAGGTGATACGGCAGGCGGAGAGGGAGGGCCTGACTCTGGTCGCCAGCAGCAGCAACAATAGCGGCTACAAAGGCGTGATCTTCAACCCGAACCAGAAAGGCAGCAAGAAGTACAAGCTGCAGGCGAGGGTTGGAGGCAAGCAGGCCACCCTCGGCTGGTTCGCCACCGCCGAGCAGGCGGCGCTCTTCTACGCTCGCAGGGAGGCGGGCAGGGACACCGGCAGCGATCTCACCGCGCCGCCGCCGCCGCCGCCTCCTGCGCCTTCCTCTGCTGCTGGCGCCGAGGCAGTCCGGCAGGCGGGGAGGGAGGGCCTTACTCTGGCTACGAGCAGCAGCAGCAATAGCGGCTACAAAAGCGTCTGCTACCGCCCGAAGAAGCGAGGCAGCAAGAAGTACAAGCTGGAGGTGACGGCTGAAGGCAAGAGTGTCCACCTCGGCTACTTCGCCACCGCCGAGCAGGCGGCGCTCTTCTACGCTCGCAGGGAGGCGGGCAGGGACACCGGCAGCGATCTCACCGCGCCGCCGCCGCCGCCGCCGCCTCCTGCGCCTTCCTCTGCTGCTGGCGCCGAGGCAGTCCGGCAGGCGGGGAGGGAGGGCCTTACACTGGCCACGAGCAGCAGCAGCAACAGCGGCTACAAAGGCGTGACCTTCTACCCGAAGACGCAAGGCCGCAATAAGTACGTGCTGCAGGTGAGGGTTGGCAGCAAGATGACCCTTCGCGGCTGCTTCACCACCGCCGAGGAGGCGGCGCTGGCGCGTGCGCGGCACCTGTGGGACGCAACCGTCCGCTTGCTCGAGCCGCAGCCGCAGCAAGCATCGCCGCAAGGCGTAGCAGGGCCTTCTGAGGCCAGCTACGAGGAGGAGGACGGCTTCGACCCGGCGGACACTGCCGACGCCACGGCTCGCTCGCTGCTCTCCGAACCGCCGCCTTCCGCGAGCGAGCAGAGAGCGGCGAGGCGGCAGGCGTGCGCAGTAGAGCATGCGAGGGCGGAGGCTACGGCGGCGGCGGCGGAGGCTGCAGCGGCGGCGGGTGCTGCCCCGCCATGCGACGACGAGGTGGAGGTGGAGGCAGCGGTAGAGGTGGAGAGCGATGAGGAGAAGTCGGAGATGGAGGCTGCCGCCGTTGCGGGCGTGTCCGCGGCAGCAGCAGCAGCCGAGGAGCGCCAAGAGTGCGCCATTTGCTTGGACGACCTCAGCTCGCACCCCGAGGCGCGCCTGCAGCCGCGCAACCCGAATGGCTGGGGCGCCACGCGCTGCTGCAAGAACCTCTTCCACTACCGCTGCCTGCATACTTGGCTCAACGACGACAGCGAGGTCGAGACGAGCCGCGGGATGGAGCCGATCAACACGGCTTGCCCTTGCTGCCGAGGCTTCGTGTCGAAGTCGAAGTCGCGGATGCTGGCCTAGGACGAGTACCCGCAGCGACCCACGTGACTTGATTTTTTTGTAGTTTTCGATGTTAACAAGAGCGGAGCACTTGGAGCACTTGGAGCACTTGGAGTGCAGTTGGCAGCCTCACAACCAGTCGGATTTATTTTTTGGGTGGTGCGCTGGAAGCGGTGACAAGGCCAGCGGCGTTCGAACTGGCAGAACCCTCGACCAGTTTCCACGTCACAATGATGCGGCTCGTCTTGCTGGCCAGGATCCTCCTCCTTCTCTGCCTCGCCGCGTCTCGGACTGCGGCGGCCAAGGCCAAGGGGAAGAAGTCCGACGCCGCGGACGAGCTTTTGTACCTCACCGACAGCACACTCGAAGTAGCACTCGAGGCGCACCCTCTGCTCCTCATCTCGGTTTCGGTGCCGGGGTGCGGCGTGTGCGACGCCGTGGACAAACGGCTGCGCAAGGCCGCGCCGGAGCTGCGCGTCAAGGCCAAAGCTGCAGTCAAGCTCGGCCAGCTCCGGATCGACTCTCCAGACAGCCCTGTGTTGGGGCGAATCGTGCAGGGTGCGCTGTCGCTGCCCAAGCTGATCGTTTTCCGCGAGGGCGAGGCGCTCGACTACACCGGCGACGACTCCAAGGAGTCCATCGTCAAGACGATGCTCGCGCTGGCCTCGCGCGACACGGTGCAGACGCTGCGCTCGGTCAAGCAGGCGCAGAGCCCCAGCTGGCACAACGACACAGCCTCGGTCAAGCAGCTGGCACAACGACACAGCCTCGGTCAAGCAGCTGGCACAACGACACAGCCTCGGGCCCCGACGCACTACCTTCCGAGCGCGTCCCGCGCCCGCAGGCCGAGCGGTTCCTGCACCTCGACTCGTGGAGCTCTCAACACGCGGACGAGGAGAAGCCGCCGCGCGTCGTCGGCTTCTTCCCCTCAAACGCGTCCGCCGCCTACCCGGTCTTTCGCGACACGGCGCGCAAGGCTGCAGGATCTTCTCTCCTGTGTATGGGATGCTCCCCTGAACCTTCAAGGACCCTTCCCATAGGCGCGCAAGCTGCAGGGCCTCATCTCCTTTGGAGAGTGCTTCGACGCAGCGATGCAGCGGAAGTTCCTCGGCGCGCCGGCGAAGAAGGCGAGATCGCACGAGATCGAACGAGATCGAATGAGATCGCACCAGATCGAACGAGATGAGCCGGGATCGCACGAGATGGCCTGACATCGGCTCGCCGGCGGAGGAGGCCGCCACTCCGCAGCAAAGCAGCAGGCACGGAAGAGACCGCACGGGAGAGACCGCACGGGAGAGGCGATCGCTCGCCCTCCGTTCGCACGGCCGCGGTGTGCTCGTCAGCTCGCCGGGGCACCGCGCCAGGAGCCGAGAGGTCCGAGATTGACCCGCCGGTATACCCGAGGCTGCGCACAGCACCAGCGCGAGGCCGTGTTTTGCCGTTTGCCGGGGCCGCTCCTCCCTTCCCGCAGTTGCACTTGAGGGCGGTGTGGGAGACACCCATGGGAGACACCCCACGCCGCACGCGACCAGTGACGCGGCTAGGCATCCTCCTAGGCCGTCCTCCAGCTGGTCAAGGCGGACAAGCGGGAGAGGAAGCTCACCTACCAGGGCCCGCTCGCGCAGCCTCCTCTCTCGCGTTGGGTCGCGACGCACTCCGTCTCGCTCGTGCAGGACCTCTCGACGGAGTCGTCGATTGAGGCCGCCGCCCTCCCCGCCCTCCCCGCCGCCCTCCCCGCCCTCCCCGCCCTCCCCGCCCTCGCCGCCGCCCTCCCCGCCCCCGGCGCCTCCCCACCCCCACCCGGCCCGCCCACAGTCGCACATGGCGCTCGGTGTGCCGGTGTTTCTGCTGCTGATGCCCGACTCGTACGAGGACGAGCTCACGGAGATGATGGTCGCCTTCCGCGCTGTCGCCTCGTCGGTGTGTGCACCACACACCACATCCTACACCACATCTGACACCACACTCGTCCTGTCGACCACCGTACTCTACCATCCCACGGCGGCTACGGCGGCTTCGGACCATCTCAAGCGCCGGCTGCAACGCTGTAGGTGCGAGAGCGGCTGCTCTTCGGGTACGGCTTCAAGGACACCGAGCCGTGGCCCGTCTTTGCGCAGCAGCTCGGCATCCCCGCCTCAGCAAAGGGCGCCTTCTGGATGATCGTCGGCAACGGCATGGACGCGACCGGGCGCGACTGGAGCACGGCTTGGCTGGCGCCCCCGTCGCTCGGTTTCCAGATCTATGCGATGGAGGCGCGCGGCGACGAGACGGCGGAGGATGTGACGCAGGCAAAGGTGCAGGCCTTCGTCGACCGCTTCCTCAAGCAGGTGGGTGGGGGGGGAGAGAGAGAGGAGAAGAACAGTCAGTCAGCGACTGGACACCGGCGCGGGGGACAGGAGAGAACAGATGATGACGGCACACATGACGACACACAGGAGCGACACACAGTCCACACGCAGACAAGACACTCAGCCGGCGGGGCTGCCACTCCTCCTCTCCTCCTGAGCGTTCGGCACGCATCCCCTCGCAGGTGGACGAGATGGCGCCGCCGCAGGTGTGGGAGGGGGTGGTGGAGGAGGAGGTGGAGGAGGAGGCGCCTGCGGCGGAGGGGGGCGGCGCCGGCGAGGGCGGCGGCGCGGGCGGCGGCGCGGAGGCGGCCGAGTACGACAAGCTGCTGCGCAAGCGGATCGGCGAGCTCCAGATGAACTTCAACTCTGGAATCGCCAACCTGAAAAAGGCGCCGAGCGACCACACGAGACGCCGAGCGCACCAGCAGTCCCATGCCATGCACACGTCCCGGCACGGACGACGGGACTCGTGCGAGTCCCCCGCCCGAGATCGCCGGAGAGCACCCGAGATCGCCCGAGATCGCCCGAGATCGCCCGAGGGTAGGCGCTTGACGACCTGGTCGACTCGCCGCACCTGATCAAGGGGCGCGCGCCCGGCATGATCCAGACGGTGAGCACGATGGAGACGAAGCTGAAGCGGGACGTGCTGATGCTCAAGCGCGAGCTGATGGACATTAGCAAGGGCAAGCCAAAGGACGAGCTCTGAGCCGTAGGGTGGAGGCGGCGCCGGCAGCAGACCCGGGTGCACCGGCGGCGTCCCGTTTGTTCTCGGGACGCGGCGCGCACGCGCCCCTGGCTGCGGGCGGGGGCGGGGGGGGTCGGCCGGATCGTTTTTGTGTGTTGTATCAGGTCCCCAACTCCCCATACACAAAGACCACTTAGACTTACTTAACCAATACGTGGCTGAGTGTTCCCAGCGATTGTAGGAAAATGACGGGACCACTTGACGGTCGCGGCCTTCCGACTCGCGCCTCCGCCTCACTGGCACTATTGTAGCCCTGGCCGGTGTGCGTGCGGAGTTGAAGTTCCGGAGTAAAAATTCGAACGCGTTCTCTCACGGTGACCAAAAAATGTCCACCTCAGAGGCACCTCCGGAGGCAGGCCGCCGCACGCCGGCGACACAGCTCCAGCTGTCGAACTGACCCGCAGCTCCTCTCAGAGCGGGAACTGTGACGAAAGTTGACTGAGGCGGTTGTCAGGAATCATCATACGGATCACATGGTGGCTCTCTCATGACGGGAGACCGCCCGACCACTCCTGGGTGGCACTGCCACCGGTGTCACTCGACGTCCTGTCGACAGCGTGCCGACAGCGACACAGACCATGTGGGACGCGTCGAGTATCGACCTCTACTGCTTACCCAGCCTTCGAGTGTACCCTGGCTATGGTCCCACACCTACTGGTGTCCACCTCAGAGACCGCAGGAGGTCATGAGGGTCGATGGGAGTGCCAACCCCACAATGCCTAAAAACCCAGCCCAGTAAATAGACTTTTGATGAATAATCGCAAAAATCGGTCGTGCCCCGGGATTCACCTCATAAGCTCATATTACTACTCTACGGCTTTATACAAGACATAACCCGCGCGCCGCGCCACACAGACACACCTCGCATGCGACGATTGCCACCAGTCGGCACCGCGCGGGCCAACCTCCGACCCTGGCCGCGTGCCGCAGGCGCAGCGCCCCCCCTACCGTTTGACGAAGAGGTAGTAGCCGCACATGTACTCGGCGCCGCGGTTGGCCGCGAAGGCCTCGGCGCACGAGAGGTAGAACATGCGGAAGCCCTCGTAGAAGGGGGCGCCGTACTTTGCGACGAGAGCCGCGCGCTGCGGCTCCATGCGCGCGAGCCTGCGTCGAGGATGCGCCAGTCTCGGGGTACGGACACGGCCCCGTGCGGTGTCTTCAGCGGATCGAGTGAAGACTAGGGCTACGGAGACAGCGAATACAGCGGAATGCAGCGGAATGCAGTAGAATACGCGCCCTCTCGAGTGCTGGTTCGGAGCGCACGCGTCCGTACTCCCCCCGTACTCATCTTCATCTAGGAGCGCAGGCCAGGCGAGCAGCGTCTTTGCGTAGCCCTCGCCGCTCACCGGCGTGACGTCGGCGAGGTGGAGCGAGGGCGGGCAGAGGTGAAAGTACCTGAAGGCACATCAGACGTGTCTCGGGCGCGCGTTGGACGTGGCCCGGAAGTGTCTCGGAAGTGTCTCGGAGGTGTCTCACTAGGCGGGGCTCGGTGCGGCATCGGTCAGCGGCCCTCGCCGAGGCGCCAGCGAGGAGGCGGCGAGGGCGGAGGCGGCATTTGCGGCGGTGGCGTGGGAGGCGGCGGCGTGGGAGGCGGCGGCGTGGGAGGCGGCGGCGTGGGAGGCGGCGGCGTGGGAGGCGGCGGCGTGGGAGGCGGCGGCATTTGCGGCGGTGGCGTGGGAGGCGGCGGCGTGGGAGGCGGCGGCGAGGGAGGCGGCGGCGTGGGAGGCGGCGGCGTGGGAGGCGGCGGCGTGGGAGGCGGCGGCGTGGGAGGCGGCGGCGTGGGAGGCGGCGGCGTGGGAGGCGGCGGCGTGGGAGGCGGCGGCGTGGGAGGCGGTGGGGCTGGCCGCGCTGGTGATGGGGGGGCGGGGGGAGCGGGCAGAGGACGGACGAGTTGAGAGAGATGATCGAGCCGCCGGTGAAGAAGTTCCTCCCCATCCACGAGTCGGCGTCGACGAGGTATGATGCGGACTGGTGCAGCAGCGAGTGCACGAAGAAGCGACCGCCCGGCCGCAGCCGCGCCGCGACGGCCGCCAGCAGCTCCTTGGGGGGCGCGAGACGCGCCGAGATGAGCTGATGTGAAGGTGGAGAAGCGAAAGGAAGGTGAGGTCCGCCGAGACAGTTGGCGGTGGCGGCGCGCCTTGATGTTTTGCGCGTGCTCGACGGTCTCGATTGCGACCGCGGCGTCGAAGGGAGCGCAGCCGGCGGGCGCCACCTCGCGTGCGGGAGGCGGGGGGCGCTGGTGGCGGAGGGTAAGGCGCGGCCGCCGATGGTCGTGGCGGTCAGCTCTGTTGACTGTGGATGAGGGATGAGGGGTGTGGCTGGCGGCGGGGATGCTGGCGGCGGGAGGGCGATGGGGGTGTCGCCTTGGAGGTGGCCGGGTCGACAAAGAGGGCGTAGTCCTCGACGTGCACGCTCACGTTGGCCAGTCCGCGCTCCGCCGCCGTCTTGGCCACGTACTCGATCTGCTGCGGCGAGTTGGAAAAGGCGACAAAATGCAGCTTTGGGAAGCGCGCCGCGTTCGTCAGCGTGAGCGAGCCCCAGCCGCAGCCACACTCGAGGACGCGCGAGCCGGCCGGCAGCGAGGCGAGGCCAAGCCGCTCCTGGTACGTTGCGAGTGTGAGCGCCTCTGCGTCCGCGAGCGCCGCCGCGCAGCTCGGAGGGTCGCTCGTGCTCGCTCCGCAGTTGACGGGCCACTCACAAGCCGAGTACTTGAGCCGCGGCCCGAGGTGCGCGACAAAGAAGGCGGGGTCGTTGGCGTACAGCTGCTCGTTGGTCACCTCGACCTCCGTCGTGACGGGTGCGCGAGTGCGCTCCTGGCGGTCGAGTTTGATCTGCCGGACGACCACGTCGCCGGAGCGCATCCGCCAGCCGACGAAGAGGTAGAGGTACCAGCGGACAAGCACTCGGACGACGGGCGTGGGGAGGTATGGCTGCAGGTAGGCGACGAAGAACTCCGCGAGCTCCATAGTGGACACTGGGATCACAGCGGGAGGAAAGCGGCGTAGGTAGGGTAGGTGTTCGCCCTCCCGACGGGTTTTTGTTGGAGAGTGTGAACTCAAACCTACTTCCTGACCGTAGCCTGACCGTCCTTGTGTAACCGTGTCTCATGTTTGGTTTGTCCTGCCGCGCACATTGTCATGCTGTTGGGTTTCTCCTGCCGCGCACATTGTCATCGACTTGTATCCGACTTGGTGGTTGTGGTGATGTAGCGATGGTGTGGGTCTCTAGTGACCTATACAGCTCCTCCGTGTTCCGTCTCCTGACATGGTACCGACCGGTGAGTGCACGGAGTGAGCAGTGCGGCACTGAGGCCGACATGAGAGCTGGTGCGGCACACAAGCGAGATGTGTTGCCGCACAGCATTTCCGGCTTACGCTCGATACGTTGGCTGGCACCATGGGCACCTGCGCGAGCCGTGGTGATTGGCTGGGCACAGAGGCTCGGCGCACGGTGGCACAGCGGCCGCCAACTGCTTGGCTCGGAGGCTGAGCAGAATGAGTACAACCGCAACATCAACTTGGGTGCTTGCGGATCTTCTGCGACAGAGCGCATCTCCGCCAGCACTGCGGCTGGGTGGACACGAGAATCCCCTCTTTCTTCTCCTTACCGGTCCGTTCTCCTCGCCTACGGACCACCATCGCAGCTGCTGCCTCCGCTACCAGCTCTCGGGCTGCTGCAACGGCAGTTGCCGCAAAGATCTCGCACCGAATGTGGACCCTGCCTTTCGCCGCCGCTACTTCCGACGTCGCCGCTCGACACGACCGGAGCTGTACGCGATGAACACGCGACGATCGACACGCCCTCTCTGCCTTGTGTGGCGATTACCACGTCGTGGGGGAGTGTTGGGCATCTGTTCGACGTGGCAATGCCACTCTACCTCATTGCTGTCTCTTCCTCGTCTCGCCTCCTCGCGCTAGCCCGTCCCGCTGTCGAACGCCTCTGGCAAGAAGTCCAATGCGCCTCTACGAGCGTCTCTGCCGTCTGGACGCCTGAGTCTGAGTCTGCCATCTCCGACGCCTTCGCCATCGATGCACCCGTCCTCGGAACCTCCGTCCCCGAGGTCTTCGATGCACTCGATACCACCCTGCTTAAGATCGTCGACGAGCATTCCACTCCGACTGGCGACGATTTCTTGCTCTGGCATGCCCGCTTGGGCCACTTCAGCAGAGACAGGGTGGTTGGTGCACTCCGCTACAAAGGTTACGCTTTTCGCCCTGGCAGTGATCGTTGCATCTGCGACGCGTGTCTCCTCAATCGTCGCCGCAAGGGCCATCCGAGTCACCCAACCAACCGTCGCGTCTACACGTACTTTGGTGAGCGAGTCGCGTCCGACCTCAATGGCCCCATCAAGCTTCTGCCCTGGAGCGTTCACAAGTTCGTGTACGCCATCAACTTCGTCGATTACTTCTCCGGCGTCATCGCCGTCTACTTCCTGGAGAAGGGCGATTCCGCCGAAATCCTTGGCGCAGTCCGTGCTTTCCTCCGTGACCATGCTCATCTCCTCACCAAGACGCGCAGACCTGGCATCATCGACGAGTGGCTCACCGACAACGCCAGCTACTTCACGTCCGAGCTGATCGACGAACTTTGCACCGTCCTCGCCATCCAGCACTTTTTCTCTTCTCCCGACATCCACGAGGGGAACGCCGTCGCCGAGCGCTGCTGGGGGACTCTCCTCAAATGCACGCGCACCGCTCTCGTTCATGCTGGGGGGGACAAGGAGTACGTTCAGTTCTGGCCCTTCCTCTTCAACCAGTTCGCCCGCGTCCACAACTTGCTGCAGACGAACAGGGGGACCAGCGCTGAGCCTCGGTGGCTGTCACCGATGCAGATCGCCATCGGCTACCCTCGCGAGTACAGCCTCGAACGCTTCAAGGTCATGCTCTGCGACTGCACCTGCGTCCTCCCCGAGTCGCTTCGCGGGCACAACCTTACCCCCGCTCGTCTCAAGGGCATCAACCTCGGCCACGACCCTCGACGCTCCAAGTACCTCGTCTACATCCCCGCCGTCCGGCGCATCATCTACACAGCCGATGTCTCCTTCGACGAGCTCTCCTTCACCGTCCTCGGCGGCCCGTGGCGCAACATCAACGTTCGGGGCATTGAAGATCGTCCTCACGTTCCTGATGCGCTCATCAACGTCAACGCGGCGAGGCCTCCCAACGGCCCAGTCGCCGCGCAGCAACGGGGCGCCCCCGCTGCCGCTCCCGCGCCCGCCGCTCCCGCCGCGCCCGCTCAAGCCGCCGCCCCGCGACGCTCAGCCCGGATTGCAGCTCGCGGCGCGCCATGACCGAGCTCCACAACGAGCTCCTGTTCATTATCTCCCCTTTCTCTCTCTCCGCCCACTCGGCCGCGCTTTGACCCCTTCACTGGATCATCTTAGCGCGCAAGTCTTGCCAACAAGCAAGACCATCCTTCGCGAAGACGCAAGGTTGGACGCTTAGCCAGCCCCGCGAGACGCCGGCAGGTAACCGGCATACCTACGCTCAGACACATTCACACTCTGCTGTTGTTGTCTGCCGCATCCTCATTCATGAAGACTGCGGAGACAATGGGGGAGTGTTGGAGAGTGTGAACTCAAACCTACTTCCTGACCGTAGCCTGACCGTCCTTGTGTAACCGTGTCTCATGTTTGGTTTGTCCTGCCGCGCACATTGTCATGCTGTTGGGTTTCTCCTGCCGCGCACATTGTCATCGACTTGTATCCGACTTGGTGGTTGTGGTGATGTAGCGATGGTGTGGGTCTCTAGTGACCTATACAGCTCCTCCGTGTTCCGTCTCCTGACAGTTTTTCCCTCTTCCACGCTGGAATTTTCAGAAAAAGAATTTAAACAAACGAACTCTCTCTCACAGCACTTAGCACACAGGCTCGACACAGAAAAAGAATTTTTTCGCGCGCTGCAACTTTCATACCACCTCGCGGTCTTCCCACTCTCGTCGTTCTTTCTCTTGTCGCTTCTTCCTCTGTCGCTTCGCTCCCCTCTGCCTCGTTCTGCGACGACGCCGCTGCCTGCCGATCCCTTGCTCTCGCCTCTCGGCGTAACTCTGCCCTCCTCGCGGCATATCCTGGCCCCTCGAGTTTATCGAGCTCTCCTCGCGCAAGGATGACTCTTCTGACGCCCACTGCGATCATTTGCCGCCAAGTCATATCGTTGCTCAGGTCCACGTTGTGTTTGAAACCGACCGATTTCTCTCTTGTGGCTTACGAGAGAGCCATTTGCACGTTGGCCGGGCTCGGGTACTAGGCTCTGAACGCGTCGGCGGCTCTGGCCACGATTACTCCCGCAGGCCCGCCAATGGGCGAGCCGGTGCTCCTCCTCCCTCCGCCCGAGGAGCTGGATCTCGACGAGCCGGAGGACAGCTATTACGCCAACATTCGCTGCGCCCTCCTCGTGCTCCTCCTCCTCGCCGCGACGCAGGCCGGAGCACTCGTGTTCACCCGCCGCTCGCTCGGCCCCGCCAACGCCGACGACAGCCGCGACTCGGTCCCCGTGCTGATGTGCGCGCTGGCGCAGGGGCTGACGTGGGCGCGCGCCGCGCTCCTGCTGCTGCTGCTCGGAGGCTGGGTCGACGCGCTGCCCCACGCCGTCGGCGCCGCCTCGTTTGTCACTTCGTGGGTCGTCACGCCTTTTGCGTACCTGTACCACGAGGCGGTCGGCGTGGGGTACGGATGGGGAGCGAGCGGCGTGGTGTCGCGCGCGGCTGAGGCAGCCGCCGTGCTCGCCCTCCTCGCCGTCCTGCTCCACGGCATCCTCTCGCTGCTGTCGACAATGCTGCCGCCGACGCTGCTCAACCTCTCGGGCATGGCGGCTCCGGCAGCCGCAGCCGGCGGCCGCGCCGGCGGTGCGGAGCTGAGCGGCTCAGTCGGCGCCGCCGCCGGCGCGCCCTCCCTCGACCAACTTCTCTGCGTGCTTGCTGGCCTTCTCGCCGCCGTCCCTAGATGCCGCATCTAGACTCGCCGTATCCCGACTAGCACTCGAGTGGGCGTATCCAGGCTGCACTCAGCTTGCAGCTGCACACGCTGCGCTCGTACCCCGTGTGTGCGCGCCCTGACTCTGGCGGCCTTCATGGCGCAGGCGACCATCGCCTCGTTCGCACGCGGCGCGCTGTTCGCACTCAACCCGCCGCCGCCGCGAGCGGTCGGCGGCGGTTGCGGCGGCGGTTGCGGCGGCGGCGGGGGCGGCGGCGGGGGTGGCGAGGACGTCGGGGGAGGGGATAGTGGTGGTGGTGGTGGAGGAGGAGGAGGAGGAGGAGGAGGCGGCGGAGGCGGCGGGTGGCACAGCCTCTCTGGCACGCCCACGGCGCTGTCGGCCTCGGTGGCGGCGTCTGCGAGGCGGCACCGGTGCGGGTGGGTAGCAGCACGGTCCTCTGTGTGGCGCGCCCTCTGTAGCACGCCCTCTGCTCTCTTCTGCTCGAGGGAGGCATGATGCTAGCAGGCAGAGGACGGGGCTGCTCGTGTCGGGCTGCCAGTAGACAGACGGATGCCCGGAAGGCTGTGGTCACCGGCGGCTGCTCGCTTCACGCCGACGCGTGAGTGGACAGGTGGGCGGACGACTCCGGCTCGCCGCTGCTGCGGCACGGCAGCAGGCTCTAGATGCTGCGCACGTGTCCGCGCACTCGCGCGAGCCCTCGGGAGAGAGAGCCTCGGGAAAGCTTGCATTCGACTGTGGCACTCGACTGTGCACGGACAGACACACGCACGCTCCGCGGAACAGACACGCCCGCCCACTGCCAGCCGCTTGCGTGTCTGTCTACCGGCAGCCCGTGTCCCCGCCCCGCTGACTCTGGTGCCCCCCCCCCCCCCCCCGTTCACCCGCCCCCTCCAGGCGCGCCTCTCTCTCGCAGCGGCTCCGCCTCCTTCCTCGAGGCCTCCTCCCTCTGGGCCGACAGGCGGACACTTCCTAGACACTTCCTAGACACTTCCTGGACACTTCCTAGACACTTCCTAGACACTTCCTAGACACTTCCTCGAGGCCTCCTCCCTCTGGGCCGACAGGCGCGCGCGCGTAGATGCGGGACAGCCGCCTGCATCTCGGGCACATGCGCATGCACATCTCATCTCGGGTGCATCTCGGGTGCAGCTCGGCTGCACCTCAGCGAGGGCTACGTGCTCACGTGCGGCCGCCTGGCGCCCTCCCACACCGCAGGCTTCAGCGGCCGCCCGCCGCCGAAGCTCGCTCCGACGGGCGATCGCCGTGCGCGTTGGGCCAGCCCTTGGCCGCGGCTGTGGCGTCGACGGACGCGGAGGCATGGGCGGCATCGGGGGAAGCGGCGGCGGCGGCAGCGGCGGCGGCGCCATCATCGGCAGCGGCGGCGGCGACAGCGGCGCTGACGGCGGCGGCGCAACAGGACGGGCCAGGCAGCGTTGCTGCGGCGGCGGCGAGGGTGGGCGCGCGGTCGCGAGGGGGCGGCGGCACGGCGGCGGCGGCGGAGAGGTTGGGCGGTTGCGGCGCCGGCGTTGCCGGTCTGTCGTCTCTGCTCGCTGCGCCGCCTCCGCCGCAGCAGCTGTCTGCGCGCGTGGCGCGGCGGCTGGCGGCGGTGCGACGTCTCGGGGTGCGGGAGGCGGGGTGGGTGGGGCTGCGGTTTGGGTGCGGCGTCGTGTGGGCAGCCTTGGTGCTGCAGGAAGCCCGCCCCCCCCGCCCCTCGCCTTCCTTCCCGCCCCTTCCTTTGTGGCCCCCTCCCTGGCCCCGATTGTGGGGCCCACGTTCTGCTCCTCCGCGTCGGTGCCGGAGCTGGCGGGGAGGGAACCGTCTGTGCCCCCACTGCCTTCTGCCTATGCCTATTTCGACACCCCCAACTGCCCCCTCCCGTCGGGCCGTGCCTCACCCCTCGCCTGCGCCACCCCTCCCGAGCCCCCTACCCCACGCCCCTTCCTCCCACGCCCCGTCCCAAGCCCCACCCCTCCCAAGCCCCTCCCCTCGCAGGCGGGCTTTCGCACAGTGGTACTGCTGCACGCTGCGGCGCGAGGAGACTCGCTCGCTTCGGTGTGCGCCGCACTCCTGCTCAACGCCAAGAGCCAACGCATCTGCTCTGACACGCCCGCTGACATGCCCGCTGACACGTCCACGACGCGTCTGCAGGTGTCGGCCGGCGGCGTGCAGCCGAGAGACAGCCTCGTGCCGCGTGCCGCAGGAGCCGCAACCCTGAGATCCCGAGAGATGCCGCGGATGCCGCAGAGATGCCACAGAGTTACGCGCGCCGGGAGGGAGGGGGGGGGGGGGTCGTGGGCCGAACCCGTGCTGGGAGCGGGGGGAGACTGGGCTCGGCCGAGGTTGTGCTGGCAGTGTGACCTCCCTCCCCCCGCCGCCGGCTCCGCTGTCTCAGGCGCGCCCTTTGTCCTGGCGGCGGTGGGCGGCCATCACCTGCTGTGCCGCGTGCGGCTGGACGGCAGCCGCCACCGGCACCCACAGGGAGTCCCTCTCCAGACGCAGCTGCTTGAGAGCGCGGGCTTGCAGGCCCAGGCGGCGGCGCTGCCCGTCGCCGCACATGCCCTCGGCCTCCTCCCCGCCGCTGCCGCCGCCCCGGCCACGCCGATGCCGCTCTACGCCTCGCCCCTCTACGCGGCGCTCTTCTGTCTCGCGTTTGTCGCGGCCAATCTGCTGATCGCCGCAGTGCTATTGCGCCGCCGCCGGCACCGCTCTGCGAGTGAGATGCCGCGGGGACCTGGCGGCACCTGACATTAATCCGGAGCGTTTTGCGACTGGTACGGTTGACTGTCCGGTTTGAGATTTTATAGAGACGTCAAACACCGCAACAGCTACAAGCCGGACGGGTTGGCAGCCGAGCCGGAGATCCAGCCGCGGGTTGCGTCCAACCCTCGCGTCCGTGAGAACTCCGGGTCTGCTTTCGGCAGCGGCGCCTCGCCGGCGCAGCCACCCAGCGGGTCGTCTAGCTTGCGCGTGGCGCACGCGGGCGGCGCATCGGTGGCGGTCCTCTCGGCTTGGAGCATGGCTCTGTACTCGGCGTCCACCGCCGCCCGCTGCGCCTCCCGCTGGTCCACCCACTCCCCGCCGGCGGAGAGCGCGCGGTTCAGAAAGCCGCCCTGCGAGCCGCCCCCGCCAAGCGGGTCGGTGAGCGAGAGAAGGAACCAGCAGATCTGGAGCACGAGGGCACCGCCGATCAGGACGTCCTTGACAGTCGCCCGCCGCGAGCCGGAGGGCAGCAGGCTGCCGCGAGCGCCCTGCTCAGGCTGAGAGTCGCGCAGCCCGAGCGCGCCGCGCACTCTCGCAAGGGTGGCCTCGGGATTGCCGTCACGCCGCCGCTCGCCCCGTTCGCCGCCGCTGCCGCCGCCGCCGCCGCCGCCGCCCTCGCCCTCCGCCGCCCTCGCCGCCGCCTCACGGCGCTCGCGCTGGAGCGAGGGGTCGAACGGCGCGAGGATCCGGCCCGCTTGCTCCGCGGACGGGTCTGGGATGCGCAGCAGCGCGCCAGGCAGGGCCGCGACGCGCCGCGCGTCGTCGTACGCCGCTGCCGCCGCGAGAGCCGCTCGCGCAGCGACGCGGACGTCGTCCGGCGTCGCCTCCCCGGCGAGCAGGTCGCTCTGCGCGGCTCGCAGAGCCTCGACCGCCGCGTCGCGCTCGCCTCGGCTCGCCTCCGCGCCCTTTATCCGCCACTGTAGCGCGGCAAAGCCCCCCAACACGAGCGCCGGCCCGACCGCGGCGGAGGCGTCGAGCTGGAACCCGAGCTCGAGCCGTGGGTGCGCAGTCCGCAGAGTCGCGAGGGCGGCACCGCCACAGATGTGGCCGACCCACTCCGCAGGCCGCGACTCGACCGCGCTGCCGATCGTGCCCACCCGTCGCGACCAGGCCGGCGCCAGGGTGACTGGCAGCCAGAAGAACATGCGGCTTGTTGCTTGCTCAATGCAGCGACTTGGCACTTCACCCTTGGGGCCGCCCCGCACACCGGGCGAGGCGCAAAAAGAAAACCTACTCCCCGAGAGGCGTGGGAGCAGCCAGTTTGGCGTGGGTCACACAGAAAATTTTTCTTTTTCTCTATTTCCCGGCGGGAAAACTCCACCCATGGAAAAAGAAAAAGAAAAGAGACGAGCCAAGGGAGGGATGGGAGGAGGACGGCACGCCGCCACCACACAGGGATTTTAAGAAGAGGGGTGTGGTGCGCTAGCCGTCGCCCACCCTTGGGCGTCCGCCTCTTCCTATCTCTCTTCGCAGTCTCTCGCCGACTCTCGCTGCAACCTTCATGCCACCCCGCGGTCGTCCCACTCTCGTCGTTACCCATGGAGAGAGGCCTTCCCTCCCCCCAACGAATTTCACGGACGGCGGGCCCAAGTGAAACAGGCCGTATTCCACCCTTCTGCGGTTGAGGATGCTCGCCGTCATCGTCGCCGCCAGCGGCTTCGCAAGTCAGCCGCGGGCTGTCCAGCGGGCGGGGGCGTATCCGGACCCGAGCTCCATCAAGACGTGCGCTGATGTCGCCAGCCACCGGCTTTGCCCTGGGTTGTTTGTGCCGTGCGAGCGGAGCTGCGCGGGGAGCGGCATCGATGATGAGGAAGGCCTCACCCGGCTGATGGCGACAGTACTCGAGTCGGTACACAACGAGAGTGCGAGACTCGCGGCGATGATCAACGCCAGCACAGCTGCAGTTGAAGCAGCTGCTCTGCAGCGCGCCTGGCAGGACCTGACCAACTCGGCACTCGAGCCGGAGCAGGAGCCAGTGTCGAGTCGCTCGCAGCGCAGTGCAACCGGATCATATCTGGATCTCTTATATCCGAACATGCAGCCAAGTGGGCCCGACCTCTACTGCTTCCCGGTAGGGACGACTTGGCGCACCGCAGCGTCCACCTGCCTGCAGCTCGCCGGTTGCGTCGGTTTCACCTTCGACGCGAACAAGATCACCGACCCGGAAGCTGCATCGACGGAAGGCGGGTGCTACAAGAGCGCAAACAACCACGTATGCGCCATCAGCAGAGGTGCAACCATATACGCGGGGTGTGGCTTAGTCTACCAATCGGCAGCCGACCGTGACGCCCAGTGCGGCTATTCCTCTGGCGATTACCTGTTCATACCCGCCGACAACGGACAGCCACCCGCGAGCGGGTCGTGCGGGCTGGGGCGGGGAGGAGACGTGTACACAGCTCTCAACTTTGCCTACCAGTCGAGCGTAAATCGCGCCAATCAGTGTCCAGGTTGCTCTGGGCAGCAAACTCTTAAGTTTGTTCCGTCTTCGACTCTTATACACCTGGAAAATACCGGGTATCGTGCCGATTTCATCCTCAATTTTGCCTCAGATTTTGCCCCAGACCAGCTCTCAGACTCAGGGAAACTCGCGAGTTTTTTCCCGAGGGAAACTCGAGAGAAACAGAATGGAGCAGCACCAAACTTGGAGCACTTGGAGCACTTGGAGTACAGAGTTGGGAGAGAGAGAGAGATTTTTTGTTGCAGAGTTGGTATAACCCCTCACCAAAACCCTCTCTGTTTTCCGCCTGGAAATTTCCGGCGGAAACGGAAAGTGCTGGGGACTTGGAGCACTTGGAGTGCAGTCATTAACCTCACATCCAGGGCCGGGGAGCTAAGAAGCGCACCCAGCGGGCCAGATGAATGGTATCGGGTTGCGGGCAAGAGAGCCCTAGCCCTGGGGGGTGCGCGTTCGCAGGGAAAGGGCCGTGAAGTAATACGGTTCTCCGAGAGGGCTCCGCGCTTCGGGTTTCCCCTAGCAGCAGAACGCCCCCTCTGCTCGGAGCTAATAGAGACCAGACGTACGTGCACACGACGCACGCAGAAACTCCCACTTCGGCATTTTGTCACTCAGGACCCGCCCCCGCCCGCGCGGTCACCCCGCTGTCACCCACCCCCGGGGGGGCTCCCCTCTCCCCTCAGGCTCAGCGCCTTCCCCCCTGCTCGCCGTCCGTTGGTCCTGCCACGATCGCGGGGTCCGCCACCCCCTCTTCTGCTTCCTCGGCTGCGGCCCCGCCGCCGTCTCGTCCTCTCTCCCAAATCCTGTTGACCCTGCCGACGGCGATCCCGTGCCCGACTTCCGGGCGAGGCCGAGGGCCGAGGGCGGCGGCATTGGGTCGTGTCGCCTCACCTCCCCAACTGCAGTGACAACACATTTCTCTTTTTGTTTTCCAGAAAAAGAAATCGTAGCGGGATTCCCAAAGTGATTCTCTGCCACATCGACACCGCAGTTTGCAAGACCTAGACTCTTCCACATACATGGCACGCTTCGATGCCGCTCCTGGCTCGCAGCTCAAGCCGGCAAAGGTGAGGTACCACCAGGTGGACGGCAACTCGCTCACCATCGGCCACGTCGTCAGCAAAACGCCTCCGCCGCCCGGCTCGACATCCTTTCACTCGGTCGAGGTCGTGCACGCTGGCGGACCTGTGGCCGAGAGGCTGCGCCGCGCGCCGCGCATCGACGCGACGTACCCGGTGCGGTTCCACGAGCTGCCCGAGACGGGTTGCTCGCCCGCCCGCGAGTTTGCCGCCATCTTCGAGGTGCTCGAGGGCATGATGCTGGCGAAAGCCAACCGGCAGTCGCTCGTGCTTTGGGTTGGCCGTCCTGACAAGCCCGAGCTCGACGGCTTCGCCGGCTTCCTCGGCATGCTCCCCTTCCGCGGCATCTCCGTCGCCCTCGTCTCCGCCGACGCGGTGCGCTATCCGGACCCGTTCAGCTATCGCACGCCCTCTGGAGTCCTCGAGCACGACGCCAACGATCCCGCGCGGTGCGCCTGCCTCCTGCTCCACCGGCGCAACCCGCGCGAGGACCACCCCGCCACCACGGCCGCCCTCTCCACTGCCACCGTCGGGTGTACCGCTGCTCTCGCCCTCGCCGCCAGCCGCCGCCACCACCCCCACTGCCCGTCCCGTCGCCACCAGCGCCGCCGCCTCCACCAGCGTCACCCGCCCCACCTCCGCTGGATTCGCGTCGCCGAACCTCGCTCCGCCCCTCGCCGCCGCAGGATGGGAAAATGCTGCGTCAGCGCGATGTTTGGGCCGCTGCCCGCGCGCAGCTTCACGGCACCTGCCCCCCCCCCCCCCCCCCGCTGTCTTCTCTCCCGCAGCCCTTGCCCCTCCCTCGCCGCCTGAACCTTCTCGGAACCTTCAAGGCGTGCCTCAAGGACTGCACCGGCAGCCCTCTCGGAACCTTCTCGGACCCCTGCCCCACAGGCACGGCTCCGCGAGTGGGCGCCGATCGACGTGCAGCCGCCGGCGGGCTGCGCGGAGCTGCTCCGGCTGCCGTTCAAGATTGCCGGCCTTCCGCTGCCGATGATCACTTATGCGGGCGAGATGTAGCCGAGATCTGGCCGAGATGCAAGTGTAGTCGAGATGGCGGGTGTCAGCTTTGCGGGCGAGTATGACGGGCTATCGGTCGACTGGTGAATTCATCGATCAAGCAACTCATCAGGCGAGTACGAGAAGGGCGTGGCCGCGCTCGCCGAGCGCATCTCCGCCGCCTACCCCGCGGGCTCCCTCTGCCCGATCGTCTCGTGCGGCGAGGTGCGACGACCCTCGGCTCACCTCGGCGCACCTCGGCTGCCGCACCTCGGCGCACCTCGGCGCACTTCGGCACACCTCGGCGCCTCGGGCCAGCTCGGCTCAGCTCGGCTCAGCTCGGCTCAGCTCGTGTAAGCTCGCCTCCTCGCGGCGAGGTGGTCGACCGGCTCGGGTACGGGCTAGACGTGCTCGCGGCGCTGCGCGAGCGGGGCCACGCGGGCCACTACTTCACGCACAAGTCGGGAGAGACGTCTAAGCGGTCCGACACCCCTGCCCCCCCCCCCCCATTCACACACACACACACACACACACACACACACACACACACACACACACACACACACACAACTCACCGCCCTACGGCCCGGTGGCCAATCTGCCTCCCTCTCGCCGAGCCGCTCGCCGCCCGGACAGGTGGGCCGAGTACGGCAAGCCTAACCCCAACCCTAACCTAACCCTAACCCTAACCTAACCCTAACCCTAACCCGGACAGGTGGGCCGAGTACGGCAAGCCGGAGCTGCTCGGCTGGGTCGCGCAGGCGAAGGCGGCGGGACAGACGCCGCTCTTCATCGCGGTCGGCGGCGGCTGCAACGGCAACGCGACCGGCGTGGTGGCCGCGATGACGGGCGCCGCCTTCGTCGAGGTCCCGACGACGCCGCTCCACTACAACGACGCGACGACGTCGGCCAAGAAGGCCTTCTCGCTCGTCCTCGACGGCAAGATCCGCGCCAAGAACCTGCTCGGCACCTTCTACCTGCCGCGGCTGGTCTGGTGCATCAACGAGACCTTCCTCACCTCCAGCACGGCCTCGGTCCACTCGACCGTCGGCGAGTGCACCAAGACGATGAACATGCTGGCGGACTAGTCCTCGGCGGCGGGACCTTTCCTAGACCTTTCCTGGACCTCTCCTGGAACCTTCCTGTAGGCGGACCCGTCCTCGGCGGCGGGACGCGCCGACTACGCAAACATCCTCGGCGCGAAGGAGTTTGCCTCGGACACGACGCGGATCCTCTCGTGCATCGACGGCTTCGAGGCGCTCGTGCACTTCATCGAGGACGCCCCCACGCGCGAGGCCAAGGCGGCCGTCCTCCGCCTCGGCGAGGCGATCGCCGAGGCGAGGGCGGCTGCGCAGTGCGGGACGGAGACAGCGCGCGCCGCCTACGCGTCGCTGTGCGAGGGGCGGAGGCAGCTGCTGCAGCGCTTCCGCGCGCGCTTCTACGAGCTGCCGACCGCCGCGCGCGTCGCAATCGACGCCTTCCTCACCGTCTCCAACAAGGAGATTGTCGGCGCAAAGGCGACCCCTCCTCGCCCCACGAGGAGCCGATCCCTTCCAGGCTCCCTCGAGATTCAGCCGAGACCGCCCGAGAGCAGGCGATGTTCCTCGCCTACGAAGACCCGTTCGAGAAGTACCGCGCCCTCCTCTTCGAGTACGCCCACACCTTGGGCCACGCCGTCGAGGCTTGGCTCGCCGGCGCCATCGACACCGCGCGCGCGTCCGGCGTGGCCGCAGACATCGTCGAGGCGTCGTGGCCTAGATGCTGGGACACAGACCCGCGTAGACCCGCGTGTGCAGAAGAGCACTCGAGAGGACTCGAGAGGACACACACTCCGCAGGAGTCAGCTGTGTTCAGCTGCACCCCCCGAAGCTGTACCACAGTCTTCGCGCGAATCTTCCGGAGGTTCGTGCATTCTTGGCGTAGGCTGCCGTGCGAAACCACGGCCAGTGCGTGGGCATGGCTGTGGTGTGGGCGGGCGCCATCGCAGCCGAGCTGGGCGCGCTCGAGGGGGACGGGTACGTCTGCCACCAGGCGCGGCTCCCGACACCACACAAGACATCGCCCGAGCTTGCCCCGCCCGGGAGACATGCCTCGGCGCTCACTACCGGGGCACGCCCCGACGGCTCTCCAGCACCGCCTTAGCGCCCCACTTAGTCGCCCCGGACCGACCCCCACCCCCTCCCCCCTCCCTCAGGGCATGGTCTACCTCTTCAACTCGTTCGGCGGCTTCTCCTTTGGGCCCGTCCGCGCGCTCTGCGACGCGCTCGGCGTCTCCAAGCCCGACTTCCTCCGCGAGGTTCTGGCGGGTGTGCGGCTCGACAACAAGCGCGGCTACTGCGAGTGCGGCGATGACGCGTCGGTACGACTGCCACCACCACACCACCACGTCTAGAGACCCCCCCTCGGAGCCTTCCGCCACCGATGCCGCCGCCGCCCTGCCCCTCGCCCTCCCCCTTGCCCTCACCGCCACCTGCCCCCCCCCCCCCCCCTCCCCTCCCGCAGGTCGACCAGCTCGTCACTCACCGGCCGGGCCGCATGCTCGGGTCAGAGGATCCAAACGCAGAGGCAACCCTCGTCTTTTAAGTGCCGTAGAAACGTCTCGTATCCCTTCTAGCATACGTCCGAGTGGCCAGTCCCCCGCCACGCGGCCCCTCGAGCTCCCCACGCCGCCTGGCGCGTGCCAGCGTATCAATCGTGGGGGCGGCGCGGCGGACCTCACGCAGGCGCTGCCCTCACTCAGCGGCCGCGATCCCCCCCCCCCCCCCCCCCCTTCCAGGTGCGGTACATGGTGGTGGTCAGCGAGGAGCTGCAGGTGCCCCTCTCCCAGCGCCGCCACCCCACGAGCAGAGGCCTTGTGTGTGTGTCTGCGAGATCCGGCGACCCTGGCCAAGCCAAGCTGGCGCCTCGACAGAGCCCGCCTCTCCCTGCCTTCCCCGCTGCCCACCCCGCCGCCCCTCCACCGCAGCGGCGCGCCCTCGAGCGCGCCTTCGAGCTCGAGTTCGACCTCGTCGCGCACCTCGACGGCGGCGAGATCGCCTTCAAGCCGCTCGCCTCCCACCCCCGCCCGCTCGGCGTGGGCGCGCCCATCGCCGCGCAGGCGCGCCGGCTGATCCGCCCGAGCTGCCGAGACCGTTCTTCAAGCTGGAGCCTCCTCGGACCCTCTCCTAGCACCTTCCCTAGGTGCGCAAGCTGATCCGCGCGAGCTGCGACGCAGACGCGGCGGCGGCGGCCGCCGAGGGGATCGTGTGCGGGCCCGCAAGCGACGAGGCTGCGGGCGACGAGGCTGCGGGCGAGGCGGCGCCGGCGCCCCGCCGGTCCGCCTCGGAGACGATGTCGCTCGAGGGCACGCCCCCGTCCTGGTCCGAGGACGACGAGAGCGCGTCGCTCTCGCCCTTTTCGCGCGCAGCCACGTTCGAGGCTGAGCTCTGCGAGACGTCCGAGGCGCGGCCGGGGCACGCGCCCCCGCCGCCGGCCGCGGCCCTCAAGCCGGCCTCCCCCGCCTCCAAGCCTGCCGCGGCCGCCAAGCGCGACCACGACCTCGCCAACGGTGGCGCTGCGCCCTCGGGCGAGGAGGCGGCCAAGCAGCTCGCGGTCCCCGGCGTAGGGAGCTTCGAGATCCGTCATTCGGGCCGCAGCATGCGCGCCGCGCGGCCGCGCGTCGGCAGCGCCGTCGCGAGCGGCGAGGCAAGCGCCCACCCGCCCGCGGCTTAGCGGCGGGCTGTGCCGAGGAGCCTTGCCTGGCGGAGCGGGGCGATATCATGCGACTCGCCGCTATGGCCGCCGCCACGGCCTCGCGGCCGCAGCGCACGCGGCATCGCACACTACCTCCGCCCGGGGCACCGCAGGGTAGCGGTGTCTCGGGGGGCGGGCCGGCATCGCTCCCTTCCTCCCGGCCGTTAGGTTCTTCGCGTCGTCGATCGGGCATCGTTGGGCTGCGACGGCGCCTTCGAGACAGGGGCGGCGGCCGGCGCGCCAATGTGGCGGCCGGAGGCCCAGGTCGTCTCGCGCAGTAGGAGGGGGGCGGGGAGACATTAGGTGGGGGGCGGGGAGACGCGGGCTCGCGGAGCGCCGTCCCCGGGAGTAGGTGTAGATCGCGCGGCCCTCGCACGAGAGTATGGGAGCCGCGCCACAGATAGGCAGCATCCTCAGCGAGCAGCGAGCATGTGTAGGCATCAGAGCGAGGGTGTATTTATTAGGCATTCGGGATTTGACTCCCACGAAGCGTGTGGTAGTTTTGATATTGTAGGTTTGTGTATGAATCAATGTTTAAAAAATCAACACGCTGTGTCAACACGCTTATACACGGGACCCCCCCCCCCCCCAGCGGCGAAGCAAACAAACGCGCCGCAGGGCGCGAGAGAGAAGGGGCGAGAACAACATACCGATCCGCGTCTCGGTGCCTCTCTCGAGAGCCGCAGCGGCCTCGCTTCGGCTCATATACCCCCTACCCTCTTGCGAGGCGGAGGGCGGGAGCAGGACTTTGTTCTCTTCGCGGAGAGACCAGCAGGACACTGCCAGGAGGAATGTACGAAGAAAGAGATTAGGAGCAGCAGAAAAACCCAAAGGACAACTCCCCTCCCTCTCTCCCTCTCTCCCTCTCTCTCTCCCTCTCTCTCGGGACATGTACATGTCACATGGATGCAGTCCCTTCACGCTTTTTAGGCACCGCCCACCTACAAGGCCGCGCTCCTCCGGCTCCGCCGCCGGTGATACTCTTTTGCGTTGCGGCGGGGCTTGAACAGCAAGGCATGCTGGGCGCGCGCGAGGTCGATCGATCGATGTTTGTGTGTGTCTTTGCACTTTGGTTGTTTGTGGTGGGCCAGGCGGTACTGACAAAACATACTCTACAACATCAGCCTTCCTTCTATTCGTTCGTGTCGACAGAGCGCTACGGACTGAACCGAGCACCACCGATCGGGATGTCCGGGATTCACAAGGGATCCGGAGGGGTCCCGTACCGTGCGGAATCGACCCTATCCGTGCTCAATGTGATCCAAACGCCTCCTTCAAAGATCAAGGACGCACGACACCTCCTCTGCTCTCTGTCCGAATGGGCGCCTGCCAGTGCTGCTGCTCCTGCTGCGGGTATGACGTCGCACTCGACGAATTTGAGGGGCTCGTTGTTTCGCCAAAGTCGGACCAGATCATAGAGGCGCGGGTGGAGTGCCATTGCCCACCCAACGCAACGGCCGCCAACGGTCGCGCTGAGCAATGTGAAGCGCTCGACGGAAGAATCGGAAAGCCAATGCAGCAATGCAGACTTCGCAGGCGTAGGGTCACGTGGGCGAAGACAGCACAGGTCTAGGTAGGTGTTTGGGTATGGTGTTTACTGGTTTCGCTTTCAGATAGAGTTTATCCGCAACCGCATCCGGGCACATGATCAAAAAAAGGACGTGGCAGCACACCCCATCCACAAAGGCGCTCCTAGATCAACGTCGGCTCAAAACGACTGCGCAGCCCAGACGTCCTCACAGTACCGGCCCTCGGCCGCCATCCTATCCACACAGTCCTCGCCGTGTCCCGCCTCGGACAGCAGGCGCGCCACCGTCGCCTTCACGTCGGGCGCCATCTTCGAGGCGTCGCCGCACACGTAGACATGCGCGCCCTTCATGACTAGCTCCACCATCAGCGCCTTTTCCTGCTCGACGAGGTGCTGCACATACGTCTTTGGCGTCCCCTCCTTGCGCGAGAAGGCGACGAAGAGCTTGAGCGAGCCGTCCGCCTCCCACGCCTGCAGCTCGTCCTTGAAGAGGTAGTCGGACTCGTCGCGGCAGCCGAAGAAGAGCACATTCTCCCTCCTGCCGTCGGCCACCCGGTCCTGGATGAAGCCGCGCATCGGCGCGACGCCCGTACCCGGCCCGACCATGATGACGGGCACGTCGCTCTGCGGCAGCCGGAAGGAGGAGCCCGTGTCCTTGACGAAGGTGAAGAGCGGCATGCCCTTGCCGGACGGGCCGCCCGGCAGGGAGGGCATGACCGAGGGCGGGAAGCTCTTTTGGCATGCCTGCGCCTTGAGGTAGTTTGAGCAGAGGCCGAGGTGCCGCCTGCCGGTCGGGCTGGTCCCCTGCACCACGGACACCGAGACGGTGGCGACGCCCGGCGAGTGCTTTGGCGAGGAGGAGATCGAGTAGTAGCGCGGCTTCATCGGGGGCAGCATGCCAAGCACCGCGCCCGCCGAGACCTCGACCGACGGGTGCTCCTGCAGCACCTCCAGCAGCGTGCGCCGCGACTGCAGCACGTAGCGCTCAAAGGCGTCCGGGGAGCCCCCCTGCACCTCGCCGCTGTTGTCGCGGCCAAAGTCGGCGAGGGTGCGCAGGTGCTCCGCCTCGGCCGGCTCGCAGGCGAGCTTCGAGAGCGCGTACAGCTGCGCGCGCGAGGCCAGCTGCTGCAGCTCGAAGTGGTACGCGAGCACCGCGTAGGCGGCGACGTTGCGCCCGAGCGGGACGGTCGAGCTCGAGCTCCCCTCCTCGAGCTCGATCCGCACCACCGCGTCGCGCGCCAGCCCGAGCCGATCCATGTAAGCGAAGACGACCTCGTCCGGGTTACCGCCCACGACGCCCAAGTGGTCTCCCGCGGCGTACGAGACGCCGTCCGGGAGCGCGACCTCGATGTGGCGCGTGGAGCGGTCCGGCGCCGCGAGCTGCTCGCGGTTGCAAGACACCTCGGCGAGGAAGGCCTGGTTGCCCGCGAGGAAGGTCCGGAGCGCCTGCCGCTTCGCCTCCTGCAGGTTGGCCTCGAGGGTCGCGACCGGGATCTCCTCCGCCTTGGCGTCCACCTTGTGGAAGATCGAGTAGACGGGCAGCTTGGGGTAGAGCGTCTCCTTGATGCCGTCGGGGATCCGCGCGCCGTGGGCCTGCAGCAGCGCCACCACCAACGAGACCTGCCAGCGCGTGAAGCTGAGCTCGGCCTCGCCGCTGTCCATGTCGCCCTCGCCCATCGGCACCATCGGCAGCCCGCCGAGGCTCTCGAGCGTCTCAGACACCGTGCGCGGGAACTGCATGTACGTCGCCGCCCACTGCTTGTTGCCGCACCCAAAGACGGCGAAGCGCACGCCCTCCACGGCGGCCGCGGCGTCGGGGGTGTCGAGCCACGCGGCGAAGCGGCGCGCGTTGTCCGGCGGCTGGCCATTGTACACGCTCGTGACGACAATGACGAGGCCGTCCTCGCCCTTGGGCAGCATCACCTTGGCGGTGACCAGCTTGTCGAGAGAGTGCTTCTCGGCGACCATGCCGAAGCCCTTGCCCGTGGTCAGGGTGCGGTCGGCAAAGTCCTCGGCGCTGCCCATGTTGGAGCCAAAGAGGACAACCAGCCGCTTGCCCTTGAGCGCCTCGACCTCGCCCACGTCGGCCGGCTGCGACGGGGCGGTAGCCGCAGCCGGCAGCACCGAGGGGAGCGGCCGCTCGACGGGCTCGGCTCGCGGCACACACTTGAGGAAGATGCCCTGCGGGTCGAGGAAGAGCGGCGCTGTCACCTCGAGCTTGGTGGAGAGGTCGACGCGGAAGTGGAACTTGCGGACGAGCGAGGCGAGGCAGACGCGCTGCTCGATGAGCGAGAGCTGCTGCCCGATGCAGCCGCGCTTGCCGTAGCTGAAGGGGAGCCAGGCGTACGGCGACCGCTTGGCCGCGTTCTCGTCGGACCAGCGGTCGGGGTCGAACTTGAGTGGGTCCGGGTAGACGTCGCGGTTGCGGTGGAGGCCCCACGTGCTGCAGACAAAGCTCGTGCCCGGCGGGACCACGTAGCGGCCAAGCGTGACGGTCTGGTCGGGCGGGCTCGTCTTGACGAACTGCGCGGCCGGCGAGAAGAGACGCAGGTTCTCCTTGACCACCTGCGTGCAGTACTTCATCTTGCCGAGCGCGTCCCAGGTGATCGGCCCGTCGCCGACGACCGACATCACCTCGTTGTAGACCCTCTCCTCCACGTCCGGGCTCTGCGCGACGTGGTACAGCAGCATCGTGATGGCGGTGGACGTGCTGTCGTGCCCCGCGATCAGGAAGGTTGCGGCCTGGTTCACGATGTTGTCGTCTGGCAGGAGCTCGCCCGTCTCCGGGTCGGGTTCGGTCAGCATGCGGGTCGCCATGTCCTTGACGATGCCCTTCTTGGCAAATGGGCAGCCACCCGCCGCGGCTGGGTCGATCTCAGCCTCGCTCGGAGCCGGCGCCGGCGCCGCGCCCTTGAACGGGCATCCGCCCTCGCCAGCAAGGAGGCTCTTCTTGTCGGCGATGACGGCTTTCACCTCCGCCTCGATCTGGGACACGATTCTCTTGGAAGTGGCCAACTCTCCCGTCACCAGACCCGCGACCGCCTTGGAGGTCTTGAACGCTCCGCTAAAGCCGCCGATGCCCTGCTGCAACCGCAGACTCGATTCCGAAAACTCCTGGAAACGGTCGAGGAAGCTGCAGGGGCGGCCAGTCAGGCTAGAAAAATCACGCCCGAATCCAACCTTCCCGATGATGTCGAAGGTGTAGCGGCTCAGGAGCGGGTGCAGGTCGACGGCGGCGCCGGCGGCGCCCTGCTCGATGAACTGCTGCTGGAGCACCGCCGTCGTTTCCTTGATCATCTCAAAGTACTCCTGCATGCCCCTCATCGAGAATGCGGGCAGCAGCACGCGGGCAGCTTGGTCGTGGATGGGCTCGTCGTCATCCGTGGTGAAGAGGCCCTGCCCTCCCAGCCCTTGGCGGATGGCGCTGTGCTTGAAGAGACGCTTCTGGAACACGTCCGGCCGCTGGAACAGCTCGCCGAGCAGCTCCGGGTCGGCCAGCACCACGGTGCCGCCGAACTTGGCGGTGGGCAGGTTGATGAGCCCGGATGGGATCTGGAGGGAGAAGAGGCCGCCGTACTCCGACACAAGGCGCGTAATGTGCTCGTGAAGGCCGCCATCCGGACCCGTGAGATCGCGCAAGTTGCCGAGGAACGGCAGCGGCGGCGGGCCGCTCGGGATAGGGACGACCTCGGTTGACACTCCGTCGCCCTTCGCCATGCTTGGGTTGGTGTCCTCGGCCATGCTTGGGTTTGTGCTTGGGTTTGTGTCGCTTAGCAGCTTGTCCATCACGGCTTAGGCGGTCCTCCGATATCTCCTTCCTGGGTGGGGTTAAAAAAAAATCATTGGTTCGTACTATTAACAACGAAGGCGCTCTCAAAAAGAAAAAAAACGGAGACGAAAACGCAGCCGAACGTGAACTAAGAGCAGCTCCGCTCACAGCGTGACTTGGTGACGCCTATATACGACTGCTACCAACCAGCGCGCGAGAGAGTGATTTTTAGAAGCCAACAAGAAATGTGTCTCTCTCTCTTCCAGCGCGTGAGCGCGCTCACAATCCGAGAGCAAAGTCTAGAGAGAGAGAGAGTTTGTTTGAAAGTCTAGGGTTGCGAGCAGCACTGCTCACAATCCTAGCAACATGCCTCCCCGATTGCGAGCAGTAGCGCTCGCAATCCTACATCTATCATCTTGTGTAAAGGACTAATGAGCGGCTGCGCTCACAGTCATACCAAAAGATCCAAGGATTTTGCGCTAATAGCAGGCGCACAGAGGGCGCTCCCAATCGCTCCAGCCGCGAGCGCTTGTGAGCGCGCCGCGGGGAGGGTCTCCTCACAAATCCGGCTGGACCTGGAGCGATTGGGCTCCTTCTGTGCGGGCGTCAGATTTCTTTTCCTCGAAGTGGAGTACCGGCGGCGACGCCTCTGCACGGCGCTCCCCGCCCGTGCGCGAAAAAGACAAAGCGGAGGTTGGGGCTCGCGGGTAAAAATATTAAAAGAAAATAAAAAAAAGGCCAAAGAAAAGAGAAGTCACAGGATCTAGAAACGCGAAAACAAAACAAAAGAAACGAAATGGCCAAGGCACAGGCCAAATAAAACAGGGTCCACATGCTCTCACGAGGGACACGCACACAATCATCTACTCTCGACACACCTATCATCGCAACAATCGTCTCCAAGCGTTGTCGGCCCGGGCGCAGGTACCCAGAATGATGCACCGGAGCAGGGCCTCAGCCGCTGCCGCTCGCTCGCACGCTGCGCAGCGGCACGAGCGGCAGCATGGTGAGAGAGGGGTGGGCGCGGCGCCGACACGTCGGGGCACAGCTCACGCTTGCTCGCCGCCGCACACCGCGCACACCGCCCCGCACCACACCGCCCCGCACCACACCGCCCCGCACCACACCGCCTCCGACCATCAAAAGTCGGCCCCTCCAGAGGGCGCGGGCTGCGGCACGACATCCGGCTGCTCATACCTAGGCGGAGAGGTGGCGACGCGGTGGCGAGGCGGTGGCGAGGCGGTGGCGAGGCGGTGGCAACGCGGTGGCAACGCGGTGGGGGGCAGGGCAGGGCTGGGCAGTGAGGGCGAGGGGAGGGCAACGCACCGCTTGTTGAGCGGGAAAGTAAGGCCGTCGGTGTCGAGGCTGCGCGGCGGCAGCGGCAGCAGGCAGCGCGGACCGAGCGGCTTGCCGAAGATCTGCTGCAAGTTCAGCCTCGCGCCGACATCATACCTGCGTGCGCAGGGACACGTCAGTGCGCCGCCGGAAGCTGGTGGTAGTGGCAGGGGCAGGAGGTCGTCTCGGAGGTGTCTCGGAAGTGTCTCGGAGGTGTCTCGGAGGTGTCTCGGAGGTGTCTCGGAAGTGTCCTCGCACGTCGCATCGTTCGGGTTGAGCGAGACACGGCCTTTGAAGGCCATCGCCCACGCCGAGACTGCAAAGCCTGAGGAGGCGCGAGGTGAGGTGGGGTGAGCGGGGGACAACGTCGGGGGAAGCGTCGGGGGCAACGTCAGGGGGACGTCGGGGGAAACGTCGGGGGGGACGTCGGGGAGCGTCTCGGAAGTGGCTGCCCGGCGCACCGCCAAGGAAGACGAGGGCGACTAAGTCTGCCACCAGCAGAAACGTTGCCCGGCGGAACGCCGAGCGGAGTCCGCCGAGCGGGTCGAGCGGGTCGGCGCCTAGGAGCAAGAGATCCACGCACCCGTACATGACGCCGCTGCGGCCAGACGGCGCCCGACGCTCCGAGCGGGAGGGCGCCGGCGGCGGCGGCGGCGGCGGCGGCGGCGGCGGCTCCGCCAAACACCTCTGAGCTCTGGCCTCCCGTGGCGTTGGCCATGGCTGCTGCGGCGGCGGCCGCCGCGGCGACGGCGGCGTCGGTCCGCTCCTCGGGGCCGACGAGGGGCGCCTGCGGGACGTGTCGTGGACGTGTCGGCGTGATTGTCGGTGGACGTGGCGCGGGCGTGTCGCTGTGCGGGTCTCGCCCGAGGGGGGGTATGATACTAGGGGGGGGACGGGGGGGGGGCGGGGGAAGGGGAGCGGTGAGGCTTGGGCGGGCGGTGCGAGCGGGCAGCGGCGGCGGCGGGTCGAGGGCGGAAGCGGGAGGACGCGCCGACGGGTGCGTGACTGGAGCAAAGGGGAGGAGCATCCGGAGGGTGGTGTGCGGGTTGAAGTAGACGCCGTGCAGCAGGGACGCGACGAGGAGGACGCCGAGGACGGTGAGGAGGAGGGAGTAGCCGAGGAAGAGCAGAAAGTACCTGCGGGGGGGGAGGCGTCGTGGACATGTCAGTGGACGTGTCCAGAGGGCGTGTCGTGGACGCGCCGAAGTCGGCGGCGGTACGAGCACAGTGGAGGCGGGAGGTGTCGACGGCAGGTGCGGTGGAGGGAGAGTGCTCGAAGGGCGGCGAGGAGAGGCGGCGGTGGAGGCAGTGGTGGGAGGGGAGGGCGGCGGGGGGAGGAGAAATGTCTCGGAGGTGTCGTGGCACTTTCGGTTTCGCAGCCCGATTGGCTTGTTGAGCCAGAAGCAGAAGTGGTCCAGGAAGAGCACGTCCTGCGAGGGACGCAGCCACCGCGCCGGGCGTCGGAGGCGGCGGGGAGGGAGGGCGGCGGCGACGCGAGGGGAGGCGAGAAAGGGGGAGGCGACAGAGCGACAGGGGAAGGAGGCTCTAGCGCCCCCGCGGACGGCGGATCTTTCACGCGGATGCGGCGGGGGGGCGAGGAGCGAGGAGGAGGGGGCTGCGCGGCACACACACGGGGCACCTGGCCCAGCGACTTGATGTGGAAGCAGCGCGGAGGCAGCTTGCGGCCGGTGCGGCGGCAGATGTAGAAGGGCGCGTGGCCCCGGTGCGCCTCGACGCGCCACTCCTCCGGCAGCACGCCCGGGTGCGTGCGCATCACGCGGTCGAAGCTCGCCACCTGCAGCGCGATGAGGCCGTACCCCGTAACCATCACGCCAACCGGCCACGAGGCGTCGGACCAGCGCACGATGGCATAGTAGTTGTAGACGACGAGCAGCCAGACGACCAGCATGAAGATGGTCGGGCAGCAGTGGAAGAAGGCTACCTTGCGGTACTGTCCCATGTCGCGCTGAAACTCCTTGCGTTTCGCGTCCACCCACTTGGGCGCGGGGATGGTCATCGCGATTCGGTACACCGCGATGCCGGCCAGGATCGGCGGCGGGATGAGGTCGATCAGGTCGCCGATCCACGTGCCCTGGAGCAGTCGCTGACCTCGAGGCATGCTGGGCGTCGGAGCGATGAGGTTGTTGGGCGCCACAACGCCGCCTTGGGCTGGCTTGCGGAAGAGTCATGAAGTGCCAGGGGGCCGAAATCGCACAGAGACAGTCACGCAACACGGGGTCCCAGGGAAGGCGAGCAAAAACCTTATCGCGCGCGCTAGACGCCGACTCGGAGGCTGCACCGGTCAGGCGCGCAGCCGGAGAGAGAGGCAGGCGCTCAATCGCCGCACCCCGCACGCGGCGAGCGCCTCCATCATCTCCGCCTCATACGCACCCTCCACCCCCCGCCCGCGCCTCAACACAGTTGACATGGAGAAAAAATAAACACAACCCGCACCACAGTCCGTATTAAGCGATGGAGCCATCGATGGAGCCATCCCAGCAGCTCGTGCAGGTCGCCACGCTGCAGGGCCACGACGAGCCTCGGGTGTGGCACGTCGCGTGGTCGCCGTCGGGGCACACGCTCGCCTCCTGCGCCGCCGACCGCGCCATCCGGCTGTGGGCTGAGGATGGCGATCGCGCGTGGGCCTGCGTCGCCATCCTGACCGACGGCCACCAGCGGACGGTCCGGCGTGTCTCGTGGGCGCCGTGCGGCAGCCTGCTCGCTTCGTGCTCGTTCGACGGCACCGCGATGATCTGGCGGTGCGAGGACGGCGTCTTTGACTGCCTCGCCTCGCTAGAGGGACACGACAACGAGGTCAAGGCGGTCGCCTGGTCTCCGTCGGGCAGCTTCGTCGCGACGTGCGGGCGCGACAAGTCGGTCTGGGTCTGGGAGGCCGAGGACGAGGCGTATGAGGTGGCGGCGGTGCTGCACTCGCACGGCGCCGACGTCAAGGACATCGTGTGGCACCCGACCGACGATGTGCTGGCCTCGGCCTCGTACGACGACTCGCTCAAGATCATCACGCAGGACGGCGACGACTGGCGGTGCGCCGCCACCCTGCTCGGACACGCGTCGACGGTGTGGGGCCTCGCCTTCTCGGCCGACGGCGCGCACATCGTCTCTTGCTCCGACGACCGCTCCGTCGTCCTGTGGGCGGGCGGGCCGGCCGATGCGGCGCCCGCGGCGGCGGCGGCGCCGGCGGCGCCGGCGCCGGCGCCCTATTCGTACGCCCAGGTGGCCTCGCTTCCCGAGGTGCACTCGCGCCCAATCTACGCCATCGATTGGGAGAAGGGCGGCGCGCGGATGATCGCCACCGGCGGCGGCGACGACGCCGTCTGCGCCATCGAGGCGACGCTGCCGGAGCCCGGCTCGGCGAAGCCGGCCAGCCTGCGGCTGGTGGCGCGGGTCGCCGGCGCGCACCGAGGCGACGTCAACTCGGTGGCTGTGGCGCCGGCGGAGCGGGGGGACGGCCTGCTCGCGTCGGCAGGCGACGACGGGGTGATCCGTCTGTGGCGCAGGGCATAAGCATTATAAACGCCGACTTTACGTTAACTCACTTTTCCCGGAAGGGCGGTGGCTGCAACGTGTAAGGGCGGTGGCTGCAACGTTCACACACACACACACATCACACATCAGTCATCACACATCACACACCGCCCAATCCCCGCATCTTAAATATCAACACGACCTTCATACACGACCCACACCGTCCAGGAGTAGCGCGAGCGCAGACGGGGACGGCGATCAGCAAAGTAGCGCAGGCGGCACCCGACTCCAAGGATACGCTGAAGACGCTGAGAATAGCGCATGTCGCTGCGCTGAAGGGCTCACGCTATAGGGTGCTGGATGAGGACGGGTACGATATGCACTAGCACCAGCCGTCGGGGGGGTGTTGCCGGCGCTGGTAGATGATCTCCCGGAGAAGAGTCGGAGGGACCTTGGCGCCGGGGTCACGAGGAACTTGCAAGTCGTGGCCGAGGCGGCGACGGGAGCGGTGCAGAGGTGGATCCAGCTCAATCGGATGAGGCTACGGCGCGCATAATGAAGAGAGAGGAACACATCGAGTGGCTGAGGAAGCTCTTCGCTGGGTGGAAGGAGGCCCGGCCAGCCTTGAGGGAGTCGCGGAGGAGGAGGGATAATGGAGGTAACGTGGCTCGTGGGAACAGGCCAACAGCCAGTGGGACGAACGAGGGCCGCGACGGCGGCTCAAGCGGGAGGGAGCGGAGACGGTGGGCAGAGAGCAAAGTGGGTGAGACTGATGATGCTCCTTCGACTTAGGGAGCGGTTCAGATGCTGGGCGGGCTTCAGGCTGGTGCTCACGCGAAAAGGAATCGACGCGATGTACAAAGCATACAAGAAGGGGAGAAAGAAGAGGAGAGCAGTCTTGGAGAACCCTGTCCAGGCCTGAGGATTCTGCACTAGCGATTCTGCCACCCGAGACAGGATTCTGTATGCGGAGGCTCGAGAGGGATTCGTGTCCGTCGCTTCTGATTCTCACTCTCCTTTTCCGTTTCTGCCTTCTCGATCTGATTCTGCCCGTCCCCTTTCCACGCACTCAGCCTCCGGGCAGGATTCCTCGCTCAGCTTCCGTTTCTGCCTTCTCGATCTGATTCTGGGGGAGCGGTGTGGGGGAGCGTCACGGTGCGAGGGAGAAGGTGAGGCACAGGCACAGGCACTCCACTGGCAGCGAGGCCCAGAGAGACGCGCGCGCGAGAGAGAGAGCCGCTGCCAGAGCCACAGAGAGGTTCAGGTAAGGTAAGGTAAGGTAAACGTCTCCACGCACACAAAGTGTGGTGCGGCAAGGGGGGGGCGACCCTCGCATCTGACTCCACGCCCGGGACGCGGGACACGGGCAGGAGCCCCACGGCATTCAAAGTGCAAGGCCCAGTGCCGTGGGTGAGCAGACCAGCACTCCACTCTCCCTCCCTCCACCCTCCCAGACACACAACCCGCCACACAAAACCCCACAGGCACAGCTCTCTTGGCCGACCGACGTGTTCAGAAACACCAAGCAGCGAAGCGAAGGTGAAGGGGGGTAAGAGGGGCTGTGGGGGACAGAATCTTGTGTTGAGAGAGAGAGAGAGCCGAGAGCGGAGAGCGACGAGCGAGCGAGCGAGCGAGCGACGGAGCACGGCGAGGGAGACGAGCGTCGAGAGAGCGGAGGCCGGAGGTCGAGAGAGCGAGAGAGCGAGAGTCAGAGCAGAGAGAGGAGAGAGAGGAGAGAGAGAGAGAGAGAGAGAGAGAGAGAGAGAGAGAGAGAGAGAGAGAGAGAGAGAGAGAGTCCTCACCGCCAAGAAAAAGGAACTTAACACTCCCCAGATACTAGAGATAAGAGTCGCCCGCCTCCCTGTTCCACGCAGCCACGCTCGCCCCCCCCCCCCCCCCCTCCCCCCCCCTCAGCCAGCTGCTCGCTCGGCGGCCGCGGCGGCGGCCGCCTCGGCCTCCTCCTGCATACGCGCCTGCACGCCCTCGAGGTGCATCTGTACGTCGAGCCGCTTCATCGACTCGATCGACCCGTGCGCCTTGAAGACGCGACCCAGCGTCACCAGCGCACGCGCGCGCGCCTGGCGCACGCCCTGCTCTGTCGCCTGGTCGGCGAGCACCTTGTTGCAGACCTTGCGCAGCGTGCTCTCAATGTCGAGCAGCGAGACGCGCCACATCGACTCCATCATCAGGTAGGCTGCCCTCTCCCCCTCCTCTGGACCTTCCTTGCCCCGCCCCACCCCTTCTGGGGCCGTGGTAGACGCGCCGCCGCCTCCCGCCGCGCCGGTCGCCGCCGTGCCGCCGCCCGCCGCGGCCAACAGATTGCATGGCCTCACGGAGACCGTTGCGGCGGAGGCCGTCTCCCCTTCGGCCACGGGCGGTGCATTGTCTAGGGAGACGGTGTAGCGGCCAGTCTCGCAATGAAACGCGACAGCGACACCGCGCCGCCCATTAAGCTCCGGCCGCCCGCTCAGGCCCTGCAGCGTGACGCGCTGGAAGAGCAAGTCGGGCCTGACTGGCTGCTCGGCAGCCTCCGCCGGCTCCGCGCCACCCGCGCCGCTCGCAGCGGCGCCCCCGATCTCGCCGCCTACCGGCGCCGCTGCCGCATCGGCGGGAGAGGCAGGGCCATTGCCTCCTCCGCCTCCGGCACCGCCGCCTCCGCCTCTGCCGCCTCCGCCGCTGCTGCCGCCGCCGCCGCCGCCGCCGCCGCCGCCGCTATCGCCCCCGTCAGATTTCGGCAGGAACGAGGCTGCAAAAGCGGAGAACGACTCGGTCGGCGGCCCATCGCCTTCGCCGCCGCCGGCGCTGCCCTCGCCGTCCCCGCTGCCGCCGCTGCCGCCGCCGCCGCCGCCGCCGCCGCCGCCGCCGCCGCCGCCTCCAGCCGGTCTGCTCGCCGCCGCAGCGCCCTCCCTGGCCTCCTTGCCCTTCTGCGCGGCGGTGGTGCTCGCCTTTTGCTCGTCGCGGAAGGCGCGGTACGTCTTGAAGGCCACCTGACACCGCGCGCCGTGGTCCGTCAGGTACGGTCGGCGGCCTCCTCGTAGCTGGGGGGAGGGTGAGGGGAGAGGGCGGGGGAAGGGATGCGTGCTGCGGGGGAAGGGAGGATGCGTGCTGGCCGCCTGCGCCACCCGAACCGTCTGCGCGACGCCGTGCGCCTTTGTGTCGAGGCTGTTGAGCGCCGCGTCGATCCCACCCAGCGCCTGCAGCCCCTTGTGCTCGTACACGTAGCCGACGGTCCACAGCAGCGCCTCGCCAAACGGCGCCTGCTTGAGCCGCTCGGCGTGGTCGTGCATCTCCGCCTCGAACTCCGCCGTGTCGCCGGCGACGAACTGCTGCAGCAGCCCGCGCAGTGTGACGGCGCACAGCACCTCGCGCCGCTTCTGCTTGTACGCGACCCACCGCTCGTCGAGGGCCTCGGCCTCGTGCAGAGAGAACATGGCCGCCAGCTTGAGCTCGCCGACGAGGTACTCGAAGGGCTCCGAGCCGAACATGGCCGCGAAGAAGGCCGCCGAATCGACCAGCTCGACCTCGAGGCCCTGCCGCCCCTTGTCGTCGTACTTCGCACGCAGCGCCTCGTCCGACAGCACCTGGTACATCAAGGTAGACACTTCCTAGACACTTCCTAGACACTTCCTAGACACCTCGTCCGACAGCACCTGGTACGCCTCGCCCACGCGCTGGAACGCCGCGTGCGCGCCCGCGTCGCCGATGTTCTTGTCGGGGTGCAACTGCCGCGCCTTGACGAAGTACGCCTTCTTGATGGCCGCCGGCGTCGCGTCGGGCGCCACGCCGAGCGCATCGTACAGCTCGGTCTCCTTGACCGCCTTGCCGCCGCCGCCCTTGCCGCCCTTGCCGCCCTCCTTGCCTCCGCCGGCCGCGCCTCCGACGCCGTTCCGCTCGCACCACTCGTCCTCCGTCTCGGCGAGGATCTCTCGCGCCTCCGCCTGCAGACGAGTCGCCGAGCCCAGGCGTCAGAGCAGATTGCGTGTGTGCGTTTGTCCGTCGAGGGACTCCGGCGCCTGCAAGTCGTACGCCACCCAAGTGCGCGTGTCCTCGTCCCAAATCTTGCCCTTGCCGCGCTCGGCGATCGCCTCGGGCGTGGCGAGAATGCCGCGCGTCAGCTGCACGCACCCAACCACCGCTCCCGCGACCGGCAGCACCACAGCGCCCGCGACGCCGAGGCCGGCACCGGCGAGAGCTCCCTTGACTCCGCCCTCGCGCGCACCCGCCACAGGTGCGGCCACGAGCCCAACTGCGCCGACCGCCACCCCTTTGGCAAAGGCAGAGAGTCCGGACATGGCCCCTTTTCCCGCGTCCTTGGGCTTGCGCAGCGAGAAGAGCGCCTCGTCGAGCGGTGAGGGCTCGGCCGCCGCAGAGGCTTCCGGTGCGGTGCTTGCGAGGGCGGTGCAGGTCGTCTCCGGCGCCAGTGGGTCGCCCGGCGGGTCGCCCTTCGCCCTGTTCTTCTCCGCGACAGCCGCCATGGCCTCCATAAAAGGGAAGGAAAAAGAATTTTACAGCGGCCTAAGCGACTCCTGCGAGGGTGGCGAGGCACTTAGCTCCGTGCACCCGCCGTGGCCTTTCCGAGGGTTTCCTCTCGCACCCTACCTGGTTTCCTTTCCGTGTTTCCTGCTCGTTTCCCTACCTACAACACCCTCTAGTTTCCTCGGGAAACCCCGGGGAAACTCCGTGGAATTCGTCATTTTGGGGGGGCTCTGAGCCGTGTCTGGGGCTGTTTTGGCAAAATCGGCAAAATACCGGGTATTTTGCGGGTATACCTGGAAAACCCCGGTATACCTGGAAAATACCTGGGTATCGTGCCGATTTCCTCAATTTTGCCCCAGATTTTGCCCCAGACCAGCTCTCAGACTCAGGGAAACTCGCGAGTTTCCCGAGGGAAACTCGAGAGAAACAGAATGGAGCACCAAACACCCTCTGGTTTCCCTGGAAACTTCCGGAAACGCAAAGTGCTGGGGACCCTCTGGTTTCCCTCTGGGTTGCCGGAAACCCTCGGAAAGGCCAACACCCGCCCACCCCCGCCACGGAAAAAGAATTCCTGCCAACGTTGCGGCTGTCTGTTAACCCGGGCAGGAAGCGCGGGCGGCAGCAGCGCGGCAAGGGCCAAACCAGCGGCCGCGCCCAATCTGGACCCCGGCTCGACAAAAACGCGCTTTCTGCGCGCGGCGGCGGGCCCTCACGCCAGTCGCGCTCTCCCTCACCGGACTCGCCGCCCGCCAAGCGCGAAGCGGGCTTCCTCCGCCGACTCGTCTGGCTATGACACCGATTTACCGGACGAGGTGCAGCAAGAGGCGGTACGTAGGGTCTGCGGCGCGCTCGGCATGAGGGAGCAGTTCGAGGCGGCGATGGCGGCGGGCGAGCTGCTCGAGATGCTCGAGAGCTTGCCGCGAGGGGCGGTCGAGGCCTCTGTCCGACTGATGCGCGGTTACACCCGCACGGGCGAGTGGCCAGAGCCCATTCTCACCAGCCCTGCCCCGCAGCGCGGCCGCTCGCCAAGCCCCGCAGATGAGTGGTCAGATGGATAGTGCCAGAGAGCGAGGGGTCCAGGGGGGAGCACAAATAGGACGCCCAGCCCTGCCCTCGTGCCGCCGAGTGCATATCCTATGCGAGAGAGATTCCCTGTGCCCTGTGCCCAGCCCTCTCCGCGCGGCGATGCGCCCTCCCCCCTCGCTTTTGCAAAATCCTGCAAAAAAGGTGGGGACGTGTCTGTCCTCGACCCAGCCCTAGCTTGGGATGTCCGTTTTATTTATTTATTTCTGTTAACCCAACGGAATCGGGCCCTGTGACGAAGAGGAGATCGGACAGCCTTTGGGGCGGGCATGTGTGTGGGGAGGAAAGCGAAAGGCGAAAGCTGCCGAACACGTGGGAGGTGATAGACGCGGAAGATGACGCGAACCCGATACTCGCATACCTACGCAAAATGGTAAATGGGCGACGGCTAGCACCACACCTCTCTCCTTAAAATCCCTGTGTGGTGGCGGCGTGCCGTCCTCCCATCCCTCCATTTGGGTTAAATAAATAAATAAAAACGGACACCTCTCTACTGTGAGATGGGTAAAAAGGAACAGGCCCCCGCCCTTGCGATCTTTGTGCAGGGTTCTTTGTGGGTGTGGTCGGCGACTAGCCGGGGTCGTCCTCCCGATGGGGGACTAGCACTAGCCGTCTTCCACATGGTCCCTCGGGTCCCTGCTGCTCCTAATCTCTTCGTACATCCTCCTGCTGATCTCCGCAAAGTCCTGCTCCCTCCCTCGTCTCGCCCTGCGCGTCTGCTCCGCCTCACCGTCTTCTGCCCTGCGTCGTCTGGCGACGGGTCCTCCATAGTCGGTCGAAGTCGCCGCCCTCCTCGTGCCTCTTCCCAACGTTCCCTCGGCGGCCGATGCCGTCTGCTCCGGCTCCCCAGTCCCCGGGTCTGCCCTGCTCTCGTCTGCGCTAGTTTCTGCTTCGTCCTCACCGGCGTCTCTCCTCTTCCCTCTCCCCTTCTTGTATGCTTTGCACATCGCGTCGATTCCTGTTCGCGTGAGCACCAGCCTGAAGCCCGCCCAGCATCTGAACCGCTCCCTAAGTCGAAGGAGCATCATCAGTCTCACCCACTTCGCTCTCTGCCCACCGTCTCCGCTCCCTCCCGCTTGAGCCGCCGTCGCGGCCCTCGTTCGTCCCACTGGCTGTTGGCCTGTTCCCACGTTACCTCCATTATCCCTCCTCCTCCTCCGCGACTCCCTCAAGGCTGGCCGGGCCTCCTTCCACCCAGCGAAGAGCTTCCTCAGCCACTCGATGTGTTCCTCTCTCTTCATTATGCGTGCCGTAGCCTCATCATTGAGCTGGATCCACCTCTGCACCGCTCCCGTCGCCGCCTCGGCCACGACTTGCAGGTTCCTCGCGACCCCGGCGCCAAGGTCCCTCCGACTCTTCTCCGGGAGATCATCTACCAGTGCTGGCAACACCCCCCCGACGGCTGGTGCTAGTGCATCGTACCCGTCCTCATCCAGCACCCTATAGCGTGAGCCCTTCAGCGCAGCGACATGCGCTATTCTCAGCGTCTTCAGCGTATCCTTGGAGTCGGGTGCCGCCTGCGCTACTTTGCTGATCGCCGTCCCCGTCTGCGCTCGCGCTACTCTGAGGAACCATCTGGCCTGCTCCCTATTCCCCGGGCAGGCGCCGCTAAGCAAGTGCGCCATTGTCGCTCTAGGCGGGTTCTCATCTTCCTCGGTCCATTGCTGCGCGGCTTTCCGCACGATCGGGCACAGCGGGTCCCGCTTTAGTGCCGCCCTCCTCGCCGCGTCCCTCGCGGCCTTACATACGAGGCAGCCCCTGAGTTCGCTCCTCGTGGCGGCGCCCGGGGTCTCTCTCCCCGCCTCTCCCCGCATGATCCTCTCGTGGTGCGCTCCGTGTGGCACCCCCGCCTGCTGCCGCACCCGCGCTCCCATGACGGTCTTTGTCACCACGTTGTGATCATCCACGTCGGCGAATTGTATCTCACGCTCGCCGTGCTGATCCTTGATCCGCTGACGCTTGTCCCATTTGTGTCTCGTCGTTCCCCTGACCACATCGCTCCACAGCGGCCCAGGCACCCCCGCCGTGTGTGATCCCGCCGTGAGCCCCTCGCCGAGCCGTCCTCGCACCCACTCGTTCGTGTGGCCGCGTGTGGCGTAATAGGTCCTCCGGTCCAGTACGTCTCCCCTCCACTCTCCGCCTGCCGTCCTCCGGCGGTCCGTGTATAGGCACGGGCGTGTCCTCACTGCTCCTCGGATGACGGAGGTGGCATCCTCAATCTCGCTGGCCCCCATGTATGCAGTCGCCGCGGCGTCGGCGTAGGCGTTGCTAGCGCACCCCGCGTGGCTCGGTACCCACAGGAACGTGACGGATTCAAGCTGGGCGCGATATCTGCATATCCCCTCTAATGCCCCTCCTCGATCCCACTCCCTGAGCCCCTCGAGAGAGCCTCTTCGGTACGCCGCCTCGATTTGCTGTAGCGCGGGCTTGCAGTCGCTCAAGACATTTGGGTTCTGTTTTCTTTTTTGTTTGTTTTCTTATTTCGCTCTTAGTGCTAGCACACGCCAGTTCGCACCTGTGTCGAGCCTGTCTGCTGTGAGAGGGAGTTGTTTTGTTTAAATTTTTATTTAGTCCGGCGGAGTTCTTATTTCTTTCTTTCTTACGATTCACACAAAAACACAACCCCGGACCCAAGACGCACAAGCACATCGAGAAACACGACAGACAAGGCGCAGACGACGGCTTCCTTAGATGCCGCCAAAAAATAAAGGCGGCGGTCATGTCGTTTCTTCTCGGAGTTCCTTCTTCTCGGCGCTCTCGCCCGGGCTAGCACCGCGCACGCCGCGGCCTCCCCGCCGCGGGGCGTCGCCCACCACGCGGTAGTACCGCCCGATGGTGAAGTAGTCGCTGCGCCCCCGCGCGTGCGCGTCGCTGCTCGCTGAGGCCACCGGCCGGAGCCGCAGCTCCTGCGGCCGAATGACGCGAAAGTCAAAGGAGACCCGCGTGGCGTCGCTGACGTTGAGGCAGGAGAAGTGCTCGCAAGCGTTGCCGCGGAAGCGAAAGAGCTCGCCGTAGCGGCATTCGACCGGCTCAAAATCGCCCGCCCCTGGAGACGACTCCACCTGCAGCGAGTTTGTGCCCGACACGGCGGTCAGCGGCACCCAGCAGTTGATCTCGTTCGGCTGCTCGTGGTATGACGCGTCCGTGTGGCGCGGGCCGACGGCGAGGTGGTAGGGCAAAAAGACGCGAAACACGGGCTCGGCCTGGTAGACGAGCCCCTCGCCGCAGCCGAGCGACGGCGCCACGACCTCCGCGACAAACGCGTCATATGCGGCGAGGAACTCGCCGCGCCGCGGCGAGCGCTTGAAGATGCGATTCAGCGACCCGCAGCCGTACCGGGTCGCCTCGTCGAGCGCGTGGGAGTACTCAAAGCGCGCAACGCCACCTCCACTGCCGCCTCCGCCTCCGCCCTCTCCGCCTTCGCAGCCGCCGCCGCCGCCGCCGCCGCCGCCAAAGTCACGCAAATAGCCCCGCTCCGCCGCCCCAACCTAAACGGGAGGAGGAGCCGCTCACAGTCGAGAGTGCGACGCTCGACGCAAGGCTCCGAAGCCCCAACCTCGCCCAAGTGCAGCCGTGCGAGGGGCCCGTCGATGTCGTCGTCCCAACCAAAGCCGCCGCCGCCGCCGCCGCCGCCGCCGCCGCCAGCACCGCCGCCGCCAGCACCGCCGCCACCGCCAGCACTGTCGCCGCCGCCGCCGCCGCCGCCACCGCCAGCACTGCCGCCGCCGCCGCCACCGCCAGCACTGCCGCCGCCGCCAACTTGGCCTCCTCCTCGGCCTCCCTCGCCGCCGCCTCCACCTCCGTCTCCACGCTTGCCCTGCTCCTCTCCAAAGATGTCGGTCACGAGTTGTTGAAAGTCGTACTGCTGCGTGTCGAACGCGACGTAATCCGGGCGGTCGAACGGCGCCGCCTCCGCCGCTGCGGCAGCCACCGTCTCGGCGCTGGCGATCTCAGCGCTGGCGGCGGCGCTTGCTGTCTCCGCCGCCTTTGCCTCTGTTGCTGCTGCTTCCGCCTCGCGCGCAGCAACCCAGCGGCGCGACTGCGCGATGAAGCAGGCAGCCTGCGCGCGCGAGCGGACGCGCCGCACTCCAGTCGCAGCCCGCTCGCCTCCCAGGAGGGCGACCTCAGCGGCCAGCACGAGGCAGGTGGAGAGCGAGACGGCGCCACACGGCCGCCTGGCGTGAGGCTCGAGCGAGGCGAGCCTGCAGAGCTCGCCGGTCGCAGCCGAAGCGGCGGCAGCGTCTGCGGCCCGAGCCGCCTTGAGCGCGGCCCGGACCAGCGACGGCGCGGCGAGGAGGTCGAGGCACTCTGCGCAATCGTGCTGTGATGCGTGCTCAACACGCACAGCCATCGGCGGGGTACTCTGGATTCGGTACTTCAGCTTGGTATGGTATCATGCATGCTTCTCGAGGGGGTATCAAGGTATGCTCTAGGCCTCTGTGGGGACGTATCTCGGCTGGGTATCAAGGTATCATCGGCGGCCGCGCAGCGAAGCGACAATTCACACACACCGACCGAGCCCTCCCGCACGCACGGTGCAGCGGTGGAGAGTCGAGAGAGAGAGAGAGAGACTCTCTCTTCACGGTGGTCCGCCCCGGTATCATTCAAACTCTTTGCGCTTCCGCCGTACCCGCGCGCCACGCCCACCAGCTGTTGCGCGCGCAATGCACGCCTCCTCGTTTCGGCAAAGCCAGCTGTTTCGGAATTCACCGGATGTTTGCCGGTGCCATGTTGACTTCGAGAACGATTTCCCTCCCGCGAGGAGTTTGCGCGCCAGCAGCTCGCATCGGCGCAGGCGATGGGGGCGGCGGCGGGGGACACCGAGTCCGCAGCGGAGCCCGCCACGGCGCCTAACCCCGCGCCCCCCGCGGCGCCGGCCCAGGCCGCAGCCGTGCAGGCCGCGGCCCCTCCCGCGGCTGCAGCCGCACCGGCTGCGGCCGCGGGCCCGTCAAACGCGACGACGGCCGCCATTAGCGCCCTCCTCGCCCAGCGCATTGCTTAGTGGTGCGCTCGCCTCCCTCCTGCGCGACGCTCACTCGAGCGCGTTGGTTGTCTGTCTTGGCGCGCGCGCAGCGCGCGAAGAGGTGTGAAGAGGGGGGTCGTGTCCGGTGTGAAGGGTAACCCACCAGGGTATCAACCTATCCTCTAGGGGCCCAATGCGGGTCCTCTCAAGAGGGTATCAGGGTATAGCCCTGGGGTATGATCTTTCATGGAATGATACTTGTGAAGTACCGAATCCTGCCGCCGCATCTCGCGTTGTGTCGCCATACCGGTAAGTCACGGCAACTGATGTCCGGCTGTGCGCTCTTCCTTCTCTCGCCTTTGCACGCCAGCGGCTTCCTCGCCGCTGCGCCGCTCGCGCGTTCGCCGCGTTGCGCGGCCGTCGTGAGCGCCGAGTCGCACTGGATGGACTTCCTCAAGTTTGGCGGTGCGCCGCCGCCGTTCGACGTGCTCAGCAAGACGCAGGAGTACGTCGCCGCGACCGCGAGCGCTGCCAGCGATCGCGGCGAATACCTCCCTGCGCCGGAAACCTACTATGCAGACGACTACGTCTTCCGCGGCTCGATCGTTGGCCCTATCAGCCGGAGGGACGTGGCCGAGACGCAGAAGAGCTTCAACCTGCTCGGCGCGTACCCCGACATCGACCGTGGCATATTCGGCCTCACCGTGGACCCGCAGAACCCGTACCGAGTCTTCTTCTTCGAGCGGTGGACGGCGACGATGACGGGGTCCATCAAGATTGGGCCTCTCACCCTGCCGCCCTCAAACAAGCGGATAGAGACGCCGATTCACGTGACGTCCATCACGTGGAACCCAGACGGCAAGGTCGTCTACGAGTCCATCTCGCCGCCTGTCGACCGCTTCGAGGGCAACACCAAGGGGGCCGGTGCCGTGTTCGGCCTCCTCGCCGGCGCCGGCCTGCAGCTCCCTGCGAGCGTCGGAGACCCGGCGCGAATCTTAGCAGCGAGAATGCCGAGTGCCACCCTCATGCACGTGTCTCACTCTACTGCCCATCAGCACTCGCTCGCACTCGCGCCGCGTTGACATGAGAGACCCTCCGTCTCGCGGCGACTGCAGGCCCTCATCGCGCAGCAAAAGCTCAACACAGACGTGTTCCGCGGCGCACTGGGCAAGACGTGGTCAGGCGAGGCCGAGGTGCCCGCGTGGTGGAAGAGCACCTCCAAGGGCGCCGAACCGAACGACAGGTAGTGCACCGCGCCATTTTTTTCTGTACAGCGGAAAAGTTCTTTTCCGTATACACGGCTCGGCTTACGTACATTCCCGTAGGAGGACCTCTCTGCTCGTGAGGGTTTGCGATGAGAAGCGACCCGGTGGGTTTCGCGGAGGTTAGTGCACCACTAACCGCCGAAGGCGAAGCGCAAGCGCTTGTAGCAAGAACTCTGCGACGGATCGGGCTCATACTAGCACCCCACCTTCGCGGGCCGATGTTCTGGCTCAGCGAGGCTGCTGCGGAGCACTTTTCGTCGGTTTCGGAAAAATCGAGAAAAAGACCCGGCGCAGTCCATCTCCGGCCATGTTGATGGCCATCCTCCTGCCATCTGCCATCTGCCATCTGCCTTCGAATCGCCCCGTCATAGCACTGCGCACTGGGCCAGTCGTCGCCGACCTCTCCGCCACCGACCTTTCCCGCTTCTACCGCACTCACCAAGGCTGGCGCTCGGGCGCGAGCGGCCTTGAGCGCCAGGTGCAGGTGGGCGCAGCGGCTTCAGAGCTACGGGTTGTCCAGCGCGACCTCAAGCTGATGGAGTCTTCCCCGCACTCGTGGTGCGTCGATCGTTGCCTGGCCACCGGGCATTGCGACGCGGCCGAAGACATGCTCCAGCTGACGACCAAAGAAGTCATTGCATTCTGCGAGGCGTGTGGCGCAGAGGAGTGCGAGCTCCCGGAAGCAGCGGACCCGCAGCGCGCACGCGCTGTGGCCGTCGCCAAGGCCGCCGACGGCGGCTCGGGGTCGCTCGGCTGAGTCGTGCATCAGCCCTGGCGGTGCTCCTGTCCCCCGAGGCCGTCGTGTAGTAAGCCATGGCGGTGCTCCCTCCCCGACTGATGCTCACGTAGTAGCCTCTGCAGACCCAGCACTGATCTCGTCGCATGCTTCGTGCTCTGTCATGCCCCGGGATGCCCCGCTCTCTTCTTCCAGGGCCTGGTGGTGCACTCAAGGAGAGTTTTTGTTGACACAAATCCGCAGAGCCCGGGGACGTCCCGCGCGCGCGCCGGCCGCCGCGCCGCCGGCGGCGGCGCGCGGCCGTGGCCATATACACGATAGTGGAATCCTACAGCGGTGTCAGCAGTCAGCACCCGCCATCCAGCCCCAGTACACGTAGTAGTGTGGGTGATGACTCGCTCTCTCTGATGCTTATTGTCTCGGGTGGACGTCCTAGAGCGGGGACCGCGACCGGGGTCCGGTGCGGAGCCGGAGGTGCTGCGTGCTGGAGCCTGGACCCTGGACGTGGAGCGTGGAGGTGTGGGTGCGCGGTGCGGGCTGCGGCCCCCCACACCCCCACAGTCACACCGTGCACAATCCATAGAGTCATAGAGGCTCTCGTCTCTCGAGGTCGAGCGACATCTGACAATTGATGGGCGAGCGAGAAGACCCTGTGGCTGTGCGCCCGCTGCGTCGCGCTCCAAGTCTCCGTGATCCAGTGTCGCTCTATCATTCCTCACTCTCGCCCAGTACCAGATCGTGTGCGGACCCTGGGAACACCGACCAGCGGTGGCTCGCGTACGGGGCGGTCGGCGCCCCTCCTTGCTCCGCGGAGGCGGCGTCCAGCGAAGGGGGATCGATGCTGCCGACTGGGCTGGCAGCGCGTGCCGGTCGGGCGAGGCTCAGGCGCTCCGCCCGCTCCGCTAGCCGTAGGCGGTACAAGGCGGCGCCTCGCACGGCGTGCTCGGCGAAGAGGGCCTGGAGCTTGCGCGCCGCCTTCTCGCAGATGCGCGCCGAGCCAAGCCGCACCCGCTTGATGGCGGCATGGATGAACGAGTCGACCTGCAAGAGCGGCAGGGAGCATGAATGGCCATGAGGGCACGGCGCGGGCATGCGCTCGCTGCGATTCGGCATTGTACCGCAGCAGGACAGTGGGAGACGCCGCCAGAGGGATCGTGTGGGAGACGCCGCGAGCATCTACAACGACGCACGGGGTGGGTGTACTGCGAGACGTGCAGTAGCTCGTGGTTCCAGTAGGCCGAGCCGCCAGCGCCGCAGCCAGCGGCAGCACCACGCACGAGCCTCCAGCCAGCGGGCACGGGGAGTGAGAGGGCGAGGTCTGCGAGGAAGACGAGATCCTACATGAGAGAAATTATGGGTCCTGGGTCATTTGGGGGCGGGCATCCCATGCGCTTGCCTCTCCCTGACTAGTATACTGCGCTGTGTCTCAGAAGGGTCCCGGAAGGCTCTGCGAAGGTCTCGGGAGCATTCGCGTGCCGTCTCTGAAGAGAGTGAGATGCGGAAGGCTCGCGCGACTTGCAGCGTAAGCTGCTACACGAAACTGCACTCAGCATCTACTGCACCCGAGCCTCCACTTGCAATTCGAGCGCCAGAGGCAGAGGAACCGAATGCTGAGCCGGTACGCGAGCGGGAGCGAGGCGCGAGTGAGAGCGAGGCGCGGGGCCACAGCAGGAGGCAAGTGGCAGGCAGGGGTGGGCGGCGCACCCTATCCGCTTGCATCAGGCCAGCCACCACCCTCTCGGTGTCCGCGGCGGAGAGGGCAGCAGAGATGCTGCTCAGGATTTGCTGCTTCTGCTGCGTGTCGCCGCTCGCCTCACTGCTGACCGAGGCCTCCGCGATTGGTGGGAGCGTGTGCGCCCCGCCCTCGACCCTGTCGGCCGCCATGCGGTGCGAGAGATCACACGCGAGCTATCGCCGTTGCTGCCGCCATTGGACGAGCGCAAAGTTGCCTTTGCCGGGAATGAAACGATTCGCGGAAAAGATATTTTCAAGTACTTGGAAGGACGATCAGGGACACTGGGGAACGGGAGTGGGGAGCGCATCGCGACACGGAGGCTGGGCTGGGCAGGGTTTACCCCCCATGACGCAGGGATGGGAGGACGGCACGCCGCCACCACACAGGGATTTTCAGGGTCCCATCTTCAGTGCGTCAATTTTACGCGTCGTGATTTCTTGTTGGTCTTTAAAAATCTCTCTCAACTTTATCCCAAGAATTTTACAAGAAGCGACACACAGCTGCTCGCTCGCTCGCTCGCTCTGGCACTAACAGAGGTACACCAAGAATGCTCGCCTCGCTCCTTCTCTCCAGTGCCGCTGCGCTGCGCGTGGGCCCGCCTCTCGCCTCGAGGCGCGTGGTTGCGATGCGCCATCAGCCGCTGCGAGGCGCGGTGAGCGGGCCTCTCTCGGGCGTTGTACCGCCGGGTACGGTGCCCGACGGCCGCGCTGGCATCATCCTCTTCGATGGGGTGTGCAACTTTTGCAACCGCTGGGTCACGTTCGTGCTTGACAACGACCCAGGCGGGCTCTTCTGCTTCGCTTCGCTGCAGTCGTCGCGTGGTCGCGAGCTGCTGCAGTCGTGCGGCCGGTCCGCAGACGATCTCTCCACCTTCGTGGTGATCGACAGGGACGGCTCGTTCTACACGCAGTCGTCCGCTGCCCTCCGCGTGGGTCAGGTACTGCAGAGACCGGCGCTCAACGTGCTCGCGAGCAGCCTCGTGTCCGTGCCGGCGCCCGTGCGCGACGGCGTCTACCGTCTCGTGGCGGAGAATCGGTGGCGCCCCTCCTCGCTGCACCCAACCGACCCGTGCGACCCCCGACTCTCGCCCCACAGCCCACATCGCCTCACTCCACCTGGTGACGTGTGGCAGGTATAAGATTCTGGGGAAAGACGAGAGCGGCGAGGGGCCGAGCTGCAAACTGCGCGCCGACGCAGCAACAGCCGTGGAGCGCTTTCTCGAGTGACGGTGGTACGGCTCTAGACGGGACAGAGCTCTGGCCACGGTATAGTCCTCTGTGACAGAGGACTATACAGGGACTATACGGCCGCCGTATCGTCCCCTCTGTGCCGTATCGTCCTCTGTGCTCTGTCACAGAGGACTTCCGATACGCAAAATACGGTGTGGCCAGAGGCATTGCGAATAAATAAATAAATAAAACGAACCTCCTAGGAGATGGGACAGGAGACACTGCGCCCACTCGACACCTGTGTTACATGCTTTTTTAGCAAAAAAAACTGTTCAGTTTTCAAAGGCAAAACACGACGCTCTGCGGTTGGTGCACCCCTCACACTGACACACATTCCCCTCATCCCTTACCCTTGGCTGAGCACATCTACCTGCGAGCTAGTCTCTCCGCATTCTCTCCCCTAGTCATCCGCCCGCGCCGCGCATGCTTTTTTAGCAGTGTTTCTGATAGTTGTACACGTGTTTATTGCAGAGCGAAGCGAGTTGAGCGGGAGAGCGGACCGATCGGGCTAGTGCCATTTCACTCTGACACGCTAATCTTGAAAACGTCTCCAACGGAGCTCCGTGTTGCTTCCAGCGCCCTCCCCCGCGCTCCCTGCGGCCATGGCCGATGCTCCTAGTATGAGAGGTCATCTGGCTACCGCGAGAGCGACCCAACTCGTCGACATCGTCCGATGATGGTGCCGCAAAGTCAGCCTCCGGAGGCTATCGTGGGGTCGAGCCGGCAGTAGCCGTGACATGTGGTTCCACCACCCCTCGTAGGCTTTGCCTCTGATCGCCACCGTTCCCAGGCTGCCTAATGGGATGGAAAGGAAGGCTCGGCGAGCGTATAGAAGCGTTCTCGACCTCGTCGTGGCAACCTGCACGGCAGCGCTGGCAGGCGCGATGAGCGTCGTGCCACCTGACCCGATACGGGTCGCAGGCGTCGTACCGAGCGCGTCGAGACCGTGTCCTGATGTGATCTGCACGGGTAAATCACGTCGGCGTCAAAGGAGCGACGTGCGACCTGTCAGAGCTTGATCTCCGATCTCAGCGGCGTCGAGTCGTTTCCGGCGCGCAACAAAGGTACATCCACAGGACGCGCAGAGGCAGCTGCGATCGGAGATCAAGCTCTGACAGGTCGCACGTCGCTCCTTTGACGCCGACGTGATTTACCCGTGCAGATCACATCAGGACACGGTCTCGACGCGCTCGGTACGACGCCTGCGACCCGTATCGGGTCAGGTGGCACGACGCTCATCGCGCCTGCCAGCGCTGCTGTGCGGGTTTGCACGACGAGTTCGAGAACGCTTCTATACGCTCG